ATCAATCTGCTAGTGTCACCTACTGGCGAAAATTGGGTACTGCTGTAGAAACAATTTATCCATCTCTTAGTGCTCTTGAATTTTAATGGTTATATAACAAGTGTTCTGTAGCAGTATTAGTAAACAATAAAAATTCAACAAAATAGAAAAAGTATTAATATTTATGTAATATATAAGTTGCATGTGAAGAAGAAATATCAGAAAAACAACCTTTATGTTTACATATCCATAAGTCTCAACTGAAAACTAAAATCAGTTTTGATTTAGGAAAATAAAAGTTAAATGAAGGCAAATGGAAGTATGTGGAAAAGGTGCTTTATATGATAATGTCTCAAAATTTCTCATATAATCCAATATTTTAAGTAAAAGTAATAAATCAAATGTACAGCTTTTTATGCAAAAATAGCATCTATTCAGGCCAGGTGCGGTGGCTCATGCCTGTAATCCCAGCACTTTGGGAGGCCGAGGCAGGTGAATCACAAGGTCAGGAGTTCGAGACCAGCCTGGCCAACATGATGAAATCCCATCTCTACTAAAAATACAAAAATTAGCCGGGTGTGGCAGCAGGCGCCTGTAATCCCGGCTACTTGGGAGGCTGAGGCAGAACTGCTTGAACCTGGGAGGCAGAGGTTGCAGTAAGCCAAGACCACACCATTGCACTACAGCCTGGGCAACAGAGTGAGACTCTGTCTCAAAAAAAAAAAAAATAGCATCTATTCATTTTTGTTGTTAACCATACCCCAAAGTCTCTCATTAATAGCATTGAATTCAGGATCTCACCATACTTCATGTTCTCAAATGCCTTTTCATTTCCCTGCACAGTAACCTCTGAACTATGACTCAGTTTTATATCAGCTGCAATAAATTCTACTAGAGGAAGTGTTGGTCTATCGATGGGGATCTTTCAGTTCTACCTTACAGTCAACTATTGATAAATCTTTCCTTATTTATTCTTGGGACAATTTTTGTTTGCCCCAAGATTTAATTTTATAAATAAAAAATTATACAGTAGCTGGGTTGTTTTTTTTTTTTTTTTTTTTTAAATCCTATAAGACTCAAAAAAGAATGAGTAAAGCATTCTGGCCATTAGTCTATTTTCAATCTATTTTTAGCAAGTGATCATAAATTTTCCATCTGCTGTGTAGAACACAGTTAGATCCCTGTAGGGGATTTGAGAGGTGTGAGATACTCCTCTCCTTCTTCCTTCCTTCTTCTACTCCTCCTTTCTTCTTCTTAGAAAGGCATACAAATTTTATTAACATATATACAGGGAGAACCACAGAGTGATTACCCACTTCTTTCTTAGTTTTGGAAGTTTTTCTTCTGAAATGATTTCAGACTCAAAGAAAAGTTACAAGAATACAAAGAACTCCAGTATACTCTTCATTCAGATTGGCTTTATTAGATTATCTTGAAAGATAGACAGGTAAACAGATAAAATAGATAGAGATGGTATACATGTTATATATATACATATATATAAAGCTTATATATATAATATATAAAGAGTTTTTTGTAACCATAGAAGAATAAGTTCAGATGTGCTGCCCATTTACCTTTAAATACTTCAGTGTGCTTTCCTCTAGAAAAAGGACATTCTCTTAGTGTGATAACGGTACTGTTTTCACATTCAGAAAATTCACATTGGTACAATACCATTTTCTTATTTACAGTCCTTGTTCAAATTTCACCAACTGTCTAAAGAATTTTTATAGCAAAAAACAATTCTTCTGGTACAGGCTCCAGATTGTTAGGCTCATATATCACATTTAGTTATCATGATCCTTGGGTCTCCTTTAACCTGTAACTGTTCCTCAACTGTTTCATGACCCTGACATTTTTTTTTTTTTAAAGTATACCAGCTAGTTACTTTGTAGAATGTCTCTCAATTTGGTTTGTCTAATGTTTCCTTGTGATTAGATTTAGGTATGTGAATCTTTTCCACATTTACTTGAATACCTTGATTAGATGCATTTTTGCATTTTGGGCATGCATTTTTGGCAGGAATACCATAGAAGCGATGCTGTTTCTTTTCAGTGAATCATATCATCTCTTTCTCTCGCTCTTTGTTTGCATGTGTGTGTGTGTGTGTGTGTGTGTGTGTGACAGGCTCTGGATCTGTCACCCAGGCTGGAGTGCAGGGCTCACTGCAAATTCCATCTCCCAGGCTCAAGGGATCCTCCCACTTCACCTTCTTTGAGTAGCCAGGAACACAGGCATGACACCACACCTGGCTAATTTTTGTATTTTGTGTAGAGACAGGGTTTCATCATGTTGCCCAGGCTGGTCGTGAACTGAGCTCAAATTATCCGCCTGCCTTGACCTCCCAAAGTGCTGGGATTACAGGTGTGCCCAACTGCTATAAACGTCTTATGACCATGGGTGGTGACTGGCAAGAAATGTGCCTTGCTAGTTTTAAGGTGGAGTTGATTTTTTAAAATAATGTCACCCTGGCTCTCCTATGCTCCTGTTTCCCAATTTGACAACCAACATGATTTTTCTGATCACCTCATCCTTACTTAAAAAACATCATTGCCTCTCCAGTGTTCTTACACTAAAGGTGTCATCTGCCTAACTTAATTTAAGAATGCCTGTATGCTCTGGTATTGTTTAAATATTCCCAGCTTTGCCACTTCCCATCTTACACCAACATCCAGTCATCTGGAATATCTTTCCATTCCTCCAGTTCTCTTGTAACTAAAACAACTTCAGACTTACCCCTAACTCCCACAGGTAACTTGCCCGTAACTCTTCTTGTAGAGCTCAAATCTCATCTATTGTTCTCTCCTTCTGTCCCTGACTTAAATCGTAAATTTCTGGTGGATGTTCCCCTGTGGTCCTGTTGCAAGGTTATTCCGACCTAAACAGAATAGACTATGTTGCTTGCTGGGAAGATGCATATGCGATCTCTAGTATATAGTAGGCCCTCAATAATTACTGGTGACTGGTAAAGCAGCCAAGGCCTTTGACTATAGATTGATCTTATTCTATGTTAATAACAATATTAGCACAAGATTCTATTCTCCTGCTGGACATTATTTATATGTGATAATGAATTAACTAATTCTCTTTGACAGCACAATAAGTATTCAGCTTACAGTCGAAAATGCAAGGCAAGGTACACAATAAGACACATCCAAGCCCTGACCCCTCTGAGCTTTAAGCAGTCAGGTAACTATTTGTTCTGAAAAGTATTAACTGTTCTATCAACATTAAACTTCACCACACAATGCCTTGTGTTCAGTTGGCCTTGGCCTCAAAGCACTTTGCTGTCACATTCCCTGAATTTATATTTATTTATTTATTTAGAGACAGTCTTGCTCTATCGCTCATCCTGGAGTGCAGTGGCGCGATCTCGGCTCACTGCAACTTCCGCCTCCCAGGTTTAATCGATTCTCCTGCCTCAGCCTCCCAGGTAGTTGAGATTACAGTCGTCCGCCACTACGACTGGCTAATTTTTTTGTATTTTTAGTAAAGACGGGGTTTCACCATCGTGGCCAGGCTAGTCTCGAACTCCTGACCTCGTGATCCACCAACCTCGGCCTTCCAAAGTGCTGGAATTGGCCGGGCGCGGTGGCTCAAGCCTGTAATCCCAGCACTTTGGGAGGCCGAGGCGGGTGGATCACGAGGTCAAGAGATCGAGACCATCCTGGTCAACACGGTGAAACCCCGTCTCTACTAAAACTACAAAAAATTAGCTGGGCATGGTGGCGCGTGCCTGTAATCCCAGCTACTCAGGAGGCTGAGGCAGGAGAATTGCCTGAACCTAGGAGGCGGAGGTTGCGGTGAGCCGAGATTGCACCATTGCACTCCAGCCCGGGTAACAAAAGCGAAACCCCGTCCCCAAAAAAAAAAAAAAAAAAAAAACAACAAAGTGCTGGAATTACAGGCGTGAGCCACAGCACCCAGCCTCCCTGAATTTAAAAACCGGCCCTGACAGGCCCCGCCTCCCCACTCAGGCCACGCCTCCACATTTAGGACTCTCTCCGCCCAGTCCCGTCTCCGTACTAGGGCTTGCCTCAAGCCCTGCTTCCTCTCCCAGCCTCCCCTCCTCGGGGCGGCCTAACCCCAAGCGCTTCTCCCCGACCGGCCCCGTCTCCACACTACCGCCTGGTCCTCAACTCCGCATCTCCGCTCCGACCCCAACTCCCTGACCAGCCCCGCCTTTACTCTCAGGCTCCGCCTCCCCGTCCGGTCTTGCCTCCATACTCCGGCCCTGTCCCAAGCCACGCCCCTACACGGCCCCGCCTTCACGCTTGGCCTGGTCCCCAGCTTCTTCCTGCTGCGCCCTATCTCCGCACTCCGGCCTGGTCCCAAGCCCCGCCCCGCCTCCCGCCCCGCCTCCACACCCCCGAGCTCCGCCTACAGCCCCCGCTATGTCTCCCCACTCCACCTGGTTCCGACCCGGCCTCCTGCCCCGCCTCTACAACCCGAGCCCCGCCTCCAACCCCGCCCTGTCCCCCCACACTCCGCCTGGTTTCGACCCCGCCTCCCACTCCGCCCCGCCTCCACACTCCCGAGCCCGCCTCCAACCCCGCCCTGTCTCCACACCCAGCCTTGTCCCGAGCCCCGCCTCCCGTCCCGCCCTGCTTTCCACACTCTCGAGCCCCGCCTCCCGCCTCCCGCCTCCCGCCTTCACACTCCCGAGCCCCGCCTTCCTCCCCGCCTTCACACTCCCGAGACCCGCCTACATCTCCGCCCTGTCTCCTCACTCCGCCTGGTCCCGAACCCGCATCCCTCCCCCGCTTTGCCCCGCCTTCACACTCCTGAGTTGAGCCCGGTCTCCACACTCGGGCGGCACCTCCCTACTCGGCCCCACCTCCGCACTCCGACTGCCAGCCCTCCCTTCCACGCTCCGGCTCCGCCTCTATCTCCACGCCCAAGCCAGTCCCTTAGTCCCGCCTCCACGTCTCGGTCCCAACTCCACATCCTGGTTCCCTTCTCTACCTTCCACGCATCCTCGAGCTACACGCTAGGCCCGGCACTGAGCCCTGAGCCCTGAGCCCTGGGCCCTGAGCCCTCAATCCTGAGCCCTGCCTCCCGGCCCTGGCCCCGCTTCCCAGGCCTGCACCGCGCCTCTCTGCCCAAGCCCAAGCCCCAGTCCCTCCTCCACACCCGAGTCCGAGCCCGGCGTCCCAGATCCGGACCAGCCTGCCTGGGGCGGAGCTGCACCAGGTGCGGGCCGGGGCGTGGCAGGCTTCTCAGAGCACCAGGTGCGGCTTCTGGGTCAAGATGGCCGCTTCCGGCAGCTCCGGAGCCGGGCTCCTGCCGTGCCGCCGCCGCTGCCTTCCCTCCGGGGCCCCTCTGCTGCGCGTCGCCCTCTGCCTCCTGTGCTGGGCCCCGGCGGCTGTGCGCGCAGTTCCCGAGCTCGGGGTCTGGTTAGAGACAGTCAACGACGTAAGTGAAGTGTCGGGACCGAGGCGTGGCGCGTCTCGGGCCCTCAGGGCCCTCACGGGGCTTCACTTGACCCCGGGCTTGTTCACCTGGCCTCTGCCGGGCCTGCTCCTGGTCCCCTAATACCGTCCCCGAACCTTTCGTCTGTTACGAGCCGGGAGCGGAGAGCAGTCACTCTTCCGGCCCGACCTAGGCTGCGGGGAAGAGCAGTCAGGATTGCGCATGGGACGGCTCTCCCGTCCCAGAGCTCGGACTGTTTCTGAGGGTCACCATTCCCGACGCCAGGGAATGTCTGCTCTGACATGTTTTGGCTGGATCAAGTCCTTGTTTATTCAGACCTAACCCCAGAATCTCTTGGCACATCTAGCAGCATCTTTGGGATTCGACTCGTCCTGTCGGGATGCCGCCACAGTGGGCCACATCCCTGAGGCCGCAGGGAGGACTTCCGCGCATCAGTTTCAGCATAAACTTGGAAAGCGCGTCTGCCGCGTCCTTCTTTAAAAAAAGAAGAAAATTTAAATGAGGGGGAAACGTGCAGTAGTCACCCTACCTCTATTTCTCTCTTCCTGAGTTCCTGAATTTCTCTACAGCTCCTATCACAGTTCCGGGAGTTTGTAAGAGTGTGGGTGTGTGTGTGTGTAGGTGGGGCAAAACTTGTGATTAGGGAGTGCCTGAAAGGTGAACCTGGAGGCATGAGTAGGTGGAAACTCTTCTTTCCAAGGCAGGCTATTAGAAAACTTGGCATCCAGTAATTAGAGGAGATGATGTGGGAGGGATGCAGGAGCAGAATTATGGAAAGTCTTGCAAAAGAGAGACAGGAAGTCTGGAAGAGGCATTATTTCCTGCTTCTCTAGGGTCAGCTGACTCATCCGGCAATGTTTGGGATGGGTATTTTCCATGGACATATGAAATAATGTCCAAGTTCTAAAGATGAGACTTATATTTTGGTTCCCTTAACCAGAAAAAGAAAGTAGTTCCAAAGACTACAAATGCTTCCCACAACACAAAAGCTACTCATAGGAACACTCTTGAGTATCTTTCTGGATCTTTAAGACTTAGTGCAGCCATTTCCTCCAGGAGTCTTCCAGGTTGGTGATTTATTTTGTGCGCCAGCTATATAGTCTGCACATCTCCATTATTTAATTTCTCTGAACGGGGAAAAAGCAAAACTCGGTGAACTACTCTAATGGTTTCCTGCTGCTACTGTAGTAAATAGTCAGTGTAGCTATATTGGAAGTGAATCAGCTGCATGCATATTGTTAGATTACTTGAACATATCTGTAAAGATCTTTGCCAAGTGTACTTCTTCCTGCATGAGAAAGAGAAGTTTGCTCTTTGAGTTCTGTGTGACCTTTAGTCTAATTTTACTCTTATGTGACCCTGGGCCACTAGAAGTCTAAAAGCCCTTCTCTCCCAAGAGTGGACTTACTGTTTTCCTCATTTCAAGTTGTCAGAAACAGAAAAGGAAAGTGGGGCTTTCTCTCATTTGTGTAATTCATCTAAAGATGAATTACAGGATCAGATCTGGAAGTAGAGATACCAGTTAAGCTATTGTAGAAATTAGGCAGGCAATGCAGAGGGCCTAAATTAGGGCAATGGTGACAGGGATGGAGAGGAAGAACTAAATTTGATGAATGTTTGTGAGATAAAGTAGGCATGCCTGGGGATTGGGCTATGGAAGTGGGGAACTGGAAGGAGCCATGGCTTGGGTGACTGTAGATGGTACCACCTCCAACCAAGGTGGACAGTGTAGGAAAAGTTGGTGAGCAGAGAGAACCGTGTCTGGTTTAAGACAGATGTGTCCTTTGGGAGGCCGAGGTGGGTGGATCACAAGGTCAGTAGTTCGAGACCAGCCTGACCAAGATGGCAAAACCCTGTCTCTACTAAAAATACAAAATTTAGCCAGGCACTGTGGCAGGCGCCTGTAATCCCAGCTACTTGGGAGGCTGAGGCAAGAGAATCACTTGAGCCCGGGTAGCAGAGGATGTTGTAAGCCAAGATCACACCACTGTACTCCAGCCTGGGTGACAGAGTGAGACTCTGTCTGAAAAAAAACATGCAAAAAAACCCAAACAGGTGTGTCTGTCAGACAACCCCCAGTGGACATGTCCTTTAGGCAGTTGGGTATGTGGATCTGGAGCTCAAAGGAGGGATCCAAGTTCGGAATTTTATTGTTATTATTGTTGAAACTGTGTTGGGGAGGGGGAAGAGGGTAGGACCACTTGTCCTATCAGTGGTTTTTTTTTTTTTTTTTTTAATTTCTTTCTTTCTTTCTTTCTTTTTTTTGAGATGGAGTCTAGCTCTGTTGCCCAGGCTGGAGTGCAGTGGCACCATCTCGGCTCACTGCAACCTCCACCTCCCGGCTTCAAGCCATTCTCCTGCCTCAGCCTCCTGAATAGGTGGAATTACAGGCATCTGACATTATGCCCAGCTAATTTTTGTATTTTTAGTAGACACGGGGTTTCACTGTGTTGGCCAGGCTGGTGTTGAACTCCTGACCTCGTGATCCGCCCACCTCAGCCTCCCAAAGTGCTGGGATTACAAGCGTAAGCCACTGTGCCTGGCCTTTTTTTAAAAGTTCTAATCACTTACACATTTGACACAATTTCTAACTGCAGGACATTTATTCTTGAGGCGAGAAGACAGTAAATAACTAATCAATTATTTGATTTTAATTGTGGAAAGGTTATAAAGAAGAAAGGGTGCTAGAGATTATATAAGGGAGGGCCTGGCCTGATATGAACCACAGTGGAAGAATTCCTGCAGAACGGAGTTTTTTTTTTTTTTTTTTTCTGAGACGGAGTTTCGCTCTTGTTACCCAGGCTGGAGTGCAATGGCGCGATCTCGGCTCACCGCAACCTCCGCCTCCCGGGTTCAGGCAATTCTCCTGCCTCAACCTCCTGAGTAGCTGGGATTACAGGCACGCGCCACCATGCCCAGCTAATTTTTTGTATTTTTAGTAGAGACGGGGTTTCACCATGTTGACCAGGATGGTCTCGATCTCTTGACCTCGTGATCCACCCGCCTCGGCCTCCCAAAGTGCTGGGATTACAGGCTTGAGCCACCGCGCCCGGCAGAACGGACTTTTGAGCTGGGCTTTGAAGGGTAAGAAGGAGCCAACTAGATGAACAAAGAGTGAAAGGAAGGATTTTTAAGTAAAATTTTCAGGCTGACCACTAATCCTGAGGGCATGAAAGAATATCATACTTTTCAGGAACTGGAAAGTTGCTGGAGAGGTGGGCAGGCCTTGATTATTCAGGGTTCTATAGGCTACAAAAAGAATTTTGGTCTGTTGTAATTGCATTGGTAAACCATAACAACTTGGAGCTGGGAGAAGGGGACAGTTCTTTATCAAACGTATGTTCAAACTGACACCAAGAAAGCAGCATGCAAATGTAGATAGTTCATGTCATGTCTGAACAGCACTAACCCTGAAATGGGAGCATCTTTTACTTCTTATATGTCACTGGCCCTGGCTGAGTCTGCTAGAGGCAGGAGCCCTCCTGATCCTCATAGTAACTGCAGGAAGTAGAATCATGACAAGGTTTTTTGTTTTGTTTTGTTGTTTTGTTTTTGAAACAGAGCCTCGCTCTGTCGCCCAGGCTGGAGTGCAGTGGTGCAATCGGCTCACTGTAGCCTCTGCCTCCCAGGTTCAAGCAATTCTCTTTCCTCAGCCTTTCAAGGTGTAGCTGGAACTCCAGGCACACGCCACCATGCCTGGCTAATTTTTTGTATTTTTAGCAGAGATGGGGTTTCACCATGTTGGCCAGGATGGTCTTGATCTCCTGACCTCATGATCTGCCTGCCTTGGCCTCCCAAAGTGCTGGGATTACAGGTGTGAGCCGCTGCACCCATCCATGACAAGGTTTTAAGCAAGTGAGTGATTTGATCAGATTTACATTTTAAAAAAATATTCTGGTCAGAGAGAGGAGTGCAAGGATTAGAACTCTATATGTTGTGGAGTACAACTACTCTTAAACAGTTACGAAAGAAACTTTTTAACAAAATCTTATGTTTGTTTTTCATTTTAGAAATCAGGACCTTTGATATTTAGGAAAACTATGTTTAGCTCTACAGATATCAAGTTTTCTGGTAAGTATAATAAGATAATAAAATACTAATATATATACACAAACAAACGCATTAATGTAAACGAATGTAACATATATAATAAACTAAGCAAATGTTTTGTTTTTAAGTGGTTCTGACATTTTAAGCTTTTGTTTTGTTTCAGTCAGGACTTGGTTATTTACAAGAATGCATTTTTCTTTTTCTTTTCTTTTTTTTTTTTTTGAGGTGGAGTCTCTGTCACCCAGGTTGGAGTGCAATGGCACAGTCTTGGCTCACTGCAACCTCCGACTTCTGAGTTCAAGCGATTCTCCCATCTCAGCCTCCTGAGAACTGGGATTATAGGTGCCTACCACCATGCCTGGCTAATTACTGTATTTTTAGTAGAGACAGGGTTTTACTATGTTGACTGGGCTGGCATTGAACTCCTGACCCCAGGTGATCCACCCACCTCAGCCTCCCAAAGTGTTGGGATTACAGGCATGAGCCACTGCGCCCAGACCACAAGAATGGATTTTTCTGAAACTCTTTCAGAAAATATAATATGAATCATTTTATAAAAATTATAATTAATGTCTAATAGACAAGCAAAAAAGTATTTGGTTTTTGTGAAATTTGACTTTGAGTCTCAGATTTTTAAAACTAGATAAATTGCTTTATGGGTATATGAATGTCACGATTGTGATAAACCCTTTATGGCCTTGAAAATTTTCAAAATGTACATATCCTTCTTATTACTGTAAGAAGTAAAAATTGCTGGACGCCAACATTTTAATTAGAGTTTTAAGGTTTATAAAAATTAAAATATTCATTAGGTAGGGACTGTCTTTTCTGTGTGAATACCGATGTACAAGAACTACCAAGGTTTTTCAAGAGTTCCACTGGTTTTATATTGGATCATATTCACTGTGGCCTAATCCCTCTTACTGTTTCCGGTAACCTAACCAGGAAAGTTGGTTGCCAGAGTTAAAGTCTCAGGATAAAGAGCAGTTTTTTGCTGGGTAGAGCAAACTGACTTCCACAGGATCCAAAGCTATGCCTCTTTCCTCTTTCACACAACAGATCATGCTCCACTCATTTGTTGGGGGCAATTCTGCCTTTTATGCAGTCAGGCTAGCCAGCAGCTAGAAAGCAGAGGTGGTTTTGAGCAGCTCCGTAATATAGATCATCAGTGGTGATAAGAGCTTGATAAGAGGAAAGTGAAGTCCTAAGTGGGTGAGAAAAAAAATTTGGTATCTGTTTATTTAATGAATTCATGTCTCAAAGTCTAGACAAAGGCGATTGAAAAGAACCTCAGTCTGGTGCTGACAAAAAGTTATATGGGGAAAAAAAAGTAATGTCAGCCACTGAAACACAGCATTTGATTTTTAAAAGTCATTACAAATGCCCAAGATCTAGGGCCGGGCGCAGTGGCTCAAGCCTGTAATCCCAGCACTTTGGGAGGCCGAGGCGGGTGGGTCACGAGGTCAAGAGATCGAGACCATCCTGGTCAACACGGTGAAACCCCATCTCTACTAAAAATACAAAAAATTAGCTGGGCATGGTGGCACGTGCCTGTAATCCCCGCTACTCAGGAGGCTGAGGCAGGAAAATTGCCTGAACCCAGGAGGCTGAGGTTGCGGGGAGTCGAGATCGCGCCATTGCACTCCAGCCTGGGTAACAAGAGCGAAACTCCGTCCCCCCAAAAAAAAAAAATGCCCAAGATCTACCTATGAGTAGACTACAATCAAGACATTGTTATTAACTTATCTAAAGAAATAATGGAACAGCATGAGAGATTTAAGAGCAAAAGCATAATGAAACGAGGGTTTAGTCAGGTAAATGCTTGTCATGTCCAACAGCTTTGTTGGGGGAGAGGTTTTCTTGAACCGTGACCACAGCTATGACATGGGGCTGGCAGGTGTGGATATAGCATCCACCTGAGCCTGCTTGTTCTGGTGTCATGCTCACCAAACCACCTTCTCATCTGTATTGGGCCTCCAGGAGGCATGCCAAAGGGAAAGAGTTGATCATTGCTAGTCCAGTTTACAGTTTCTGTTCATTTTAAGTGAGTAGTTGAGCATTCTCATTTACACATCTACGTCAGCAGTCATGAAAGTGAGTAATTGAGCATTCTAATTTACACATCTACCATTGGGAAAGAATCTGTGTTTTCACAGAGCCAGATTTTAGTGCTTGTAAAGTTGAGGATTGGTCCGTTGGATATATGTCCATGCTGTTTGGGAGATCAGATAGCTGGCTTTTCTTTAGGCAACCTCTTTCCTGCTGTCTCATTCAAGATGCAGTCATGTGGAGCCTGTGCTAAAAAAAACAAAAAACTCTCAATGTAATTCACCATATTAACAGAATATAAGAAATGTACCATATGATCATCTCAAAATATACAGAAAGAGCATTTGAAAAAAATTTAGCACCCATTCATGATAGAAATTCTCAGAAAGCTAGAAATAGAAGGAAACTTCCTCAACCTGATAAAGGACATCTATGAAAAATCTATAGCTAACATCATACTGTCAGTTATTCCCAGATATATAAATTCATTTTAATCCCAGTCAAAATCCAAGCAGGCTTTTTGTTTGTTTGGTTGGTGAATATTATGAATTTTACATTCTTGAGTGCTGGAGGATGTCATAGTCTTTTAACAGCTTTGTTCTAGCAGACGTTTAAGTTCCTTGTGGGTCAATTTGATGCTTTCCAGTTTTCTTGTTAAGTTCTTTTAGGATGATACTGCAGTAGCTTTTTCTCTAGGGCAAACTTAGCAGTACTCCCGTGGTGTGATGCTTCTACTTGTCTTCTAAATACCTGTTATATTTACTCAGGCCTTTCTACTCTGGCTAGTGGAAACTCAAACAGTTCCCAGCTCTGTGTGAGCTGAGAATTGTTGGGCTTGTTCCCATGCATGAGCAGGCCGCCCTTCAGCCAGAAACTTCAGGAGATCACTGTGCAGACTTCTCTTTCTCTTTCTTTATGTAGCTTCCATCTCTTGGGTACTGTACCCCAGAGAATCTACCAGCCGCAGTTTGAACTTGAATCTCTGTCCTCAGTTCAGTTTCCCTCTTTGTGGTTATTAGCCTTTAAGATGACTCCTAATGATCCTTGCTCCCTGTTATTCATAATCTTGTGTGGTCTGTAGGGCTGTAGGGCCCCACAGGGTTGTGGGGTGTCCCTTATGCTGTGCTGAAGTCCAGGATCTGAGAAGTAAAAGGACAGGACAATGAAGAACTGGTGAAGAGCATCTGGACTCTGGGGGCCATGCAACCTATGAACAGAGATCAGCAGGGGGCCTCAAATGCCCAGAAGCATCTGTATTTATTAGGTACAAGCAGGGGGCAGGATTATAAGTGAGGTCATCATCTATAGGCTTAGTGATAGGGCATACATAATCACTTGAGTCACAATCGAGGGGGCCACCCCATTATGTCACCTGGGTAGAGAGGTGGGCCGTGCGCAGTAGGGGGCTGTGTCATGCACAGTAGTACAGGGTCGTGTACAGAAAAGGGGTCCACCTCCGTTAGGTCACCAAGGCAAGGAGATGGGCTGTGTGCAACAGGTGTCATGCACAACACTTCTTATCTGGGGCCTGGAGACTTCAAAGGATTTCTAATAGAAGGATACTGTAAGCCATTGCAGTGGAAGCTGACAGACTACTCTTTTCTTAAGATATTTATGGGAGGATGATTTGAGCTAGCACAGAAGCAAGAAAAGACTGACAGGGTGTACAGCCACTGTGACTGGTCACATCAGAGGGGTTTTTCTCCCTCTGTTATTTCCAGCATCTCAGACCTGAGGCCTACTTATCACAGGAACTGGATGCAAGGTACTACAACTCCTTTATCAGGAGGAGAGGCTCTTGCTCCAAGCCTGCCATACAGCGTATGCCCTTTCAGGCAGGGATGCCACCGCCTGAGTCTTTGGTTCTTGTCCTGATCTGGATGTTTTCCCATATACTGCTTCTGTTCTGTGACTGCTCTAGGCATTCCTCCTACTACAAACTACTATATGGTTATACAGAAGGATTATATAAATCAGCACTAAATGTGTCAGTGCAGCTCCAACTACAATACCTATATGATTATATAGAACTAAGTATGTTAGCTATAAGTATTAAGTATGATTATATAAGCTAGATACATGTAAGCAGTAAGTTATACCTCAGGTGTTAATTCTATACCCTAATATATGATTAAATATAAAGGATTATATAAAGGAAATAGCTGAGTAATAACATTGTAAACTAAGATATTCTTCAGGCACCAATTGTGCCTGGGGTCTGGACAGTTTTCCTTCCTCGGTGCCCATGGAGGGTGTTACCCACAGTAGTCCTCTAATACATTTTATCAGAGTTGGTCTGAGTGACTGACAGAGCATGGTGGAAATAATGGCACACCCTTCTGAGGCTAAGATATAAAAGATACTGTGGCTGCTTCTTTGCTCTCTCTCTAATCACTCACTTTGGGGTAAGCCAGCTGCCATGTTGTGAGGATGTTCTCAACAGAGCTCTCCTTAACCCCAGACTTAATGCTTTTCAGTCTGACTAATCATGTCACCCTCTTACCTGGATCATTCGGAAGAAAGGCCAAACTCCTTAGCAGGACGTAAGACCTCATGAATTTTCCCCAACACTGTTCTCCAGCATCAACTTTTTCTCCTTTCCGCAGTCTGAGTTCTAAGCATAGCAGACTATTTTGAGGGTGTCATAGTCATGCTGTGCTTTCACTCACCCTGGGCATTTATGTGTGTAGTCCACCCTTCTCTTCACCTGGCCGACTCCTGCTTTTCCTTCAGATTACAGGTCTCCTCCTCCAGCAAGCTTACCCAGAGCCCATTCTTCAGGCTCTCCTGGGCTATGATAGGTGACCTGCCCAGAGCTCCCTTGACTGTTCTCAGCCCCTTGGACTATTACAAGTGCCTGTTTAGTTGTTAAAACTCTGTCCTCCAGTACCTCTTAAGTCATCGACAGGCATTGTTTTTGTTCACTTTCATAGCTCTTCCTGGCACACAGGTTGGGACTCATTCAGTATATTTGAATGAATATGAGCGAGAAAAATGTTTGAGAGTAAAATAAGCAATAACTTAGCATATCAGGCCACTGAGGTTATTTAATATTAGACTTACAGATGAAACGAGCAGTATTACAGCAGCTTTTGGTTAATTATAACAATTTAATGCATTCATCTGTCTCATTTTACCATGACTTTTTGGAGAAATTAGGAATTTTGGAGAAATTAGAAATGTTTTACTCACTGTTACGTTAAAGTAGCCTATTTTTAATTGCATTCTCAAAACCTTAAGTTTATGCTAGAGTGTATGTATTATTCATGTAAAACGAGACTTTCTTTTTCTAAACAGTTAAGTCATTCCATTGTTCTCCGCCTGTGAAGTTTACCATAATGTGGCATTTGAAGTATCATACCTGTCACAATGAGTATTCTAATCTGGAAGTAAGTAAAACACAAGTTTTTAATGTATATAAAGAGATGAAGGAAAATTATGGGTATAAAGACATATTAGTTCATCAAGCAAGGAGGCTAGAAATAGAGATTATGGTTTTAGAAGTGCCACAGAGTAATTTTGGGACTTATGGCAATAAACAAAGGTATGTGCTTTCTAAGAAGGCTATAAGCCTTTAGTTGCCTTGTGTGTTATGAAAAATGTTAGTAAATGACTAAATTCAGGCATGTATGAGTCATTGATAAAGTTGCTGTACAGACAAATAAAAACTTAATTTGCAAAATAAGTTTAAATAGATTAAGTTAAATTGCAAAATAACTTAAAAAATTATAGGGAACCTAGAACTGTATTGAATACAGGTAAATTTAGTGAGCACAAGTAGATTGCAGAAAGAGGTGAGGAGAAGAAAGGAGATATCTGGGGAAAGGCAGAGGAGACTGAGAGAGAAGGAGAAAATGACTGTGCTGAGGAAGGCTTCTCCTGCACCTGGCTGTGAAGCCTGGGTTCATCCCTCCTGCAGTGTGCACTGGACTCTCAGCAAGGTGTTTCTCTTGATGATTCTCATAATGGTTGCTTGGGATTGTTTCCTTTTCAGATTCTCTGTTACCTGTTTGGCTTCTACTTTGAATAATACATGGGGTTCCATATTTTAATTTTTTAAAATTTTATTATATATGTATATATGCATATACCAATATGTATACATATATGTTCATATACCTATACATGTATATGCATATAAATATATATGAGATCTCACTCTGTGACCCAGGCTGGAGTGCAGTTGTATGATCATGGCTCACTCCAGTCTTGAACCCCTGGGCTCAAGCGGCCCTCCTGGCTTAGCCTCCAGAGTCTCTGGGATTATAGGCGTGAACCATTGTGCCTGGCTTTCCATATTTTTATTAGAATTATCTTTCTGTTTGTATTGAACTATGCCATTTTCCTTGAATACTACCTTTTTGATTTTATCTCTAAATATTTTACACCTTCACACTAAATACTTCAATGTGTATTTCCTAAGAACAGAGATATTCCTTTACTTTTTTACAGTATAATTATAGAATTCAAATTTAACACTAATTTGATGCTATTATATGTAAACCTTATTAAAATTTTGCAGCTGGACGTGGCTCACACCTGTAGTCCCAGCACTTTGGGAAGCTAAGGTGAGAGGATTGCTTGAGCCCAGGAGTTCATGACCAGCCTGGGCAACAAGTGAGACCCTCTCTCTACAAAAAATTAAAAAATTAGCCAGGCACAGTGGCATGTGCCTATGGTCCCAGCTATTCAGGAAGCTGAGGCAGGAGGATCCCTTGAACCCAGGAGTTCAAAGTTGCAGTGTGCTGTGATTGTACCACTATACTCCAGCCTGGGAGACAGTGAGACCTTGTCTCAAAAACAAAATAAAAAAATTCACCAGTGTCTCAATAATGCCTTTCATAGCAGGTCCCTCCTGCACACACACTCCACCCCCCCCCATACAGGAACCAATTCAGGGTCACATATCATTTGCTTTCCTTGTTTTTGTTTTTAGTTCCTGATAATCTGGATTTTCCCCTCCTTTTTGGTGTGTCATGACATTGATAGTTTTGAAGTATACAAACCATTTCTGTTTGCAAAATGCCCCTCAATTTGAATATTTCTGGTGTTTATTCATGATCAGATTCAAGTTATACATTTTTGGCAGAAATACTACAGAATACTGATTTATCTAATTTTTGGTGAAGTTAATTTGGTCAGTTGGTCAAGGGGGCGTCTGCAATATTTTTCCATTTTAAAGTTACTACTTTTTGTTATTAACAATAACTTGAGAGGAAATACTTTTGAAACTATGTAAATATCTTGTGGTGGTCATCAAAGCTTCAGCTACTTGTTTTAGCATCTTTTCATGATTCTTGCCTGATTAGTCAGTCATTACTGGGCTGATTGCTGGGTGGTGATTTTCTAGTTCCATACTTTCTTCTTCACTTACTAGCATTCTACTATAAGGATGCCCTGTCTCTACTCCCCTAACCAATTTATCTTACCTGTCAGTCATCAGGTTGGACTCATTGACTTTTACTTTGTTATATAGGTCATAATCTGTTACTGTTTTTATTTATTTCCCTCAAATTGTTTCATATTTGGTCTGGGGGAACCAACTTCACTTTTTTTGATGACTGGGAGCTGCCATTAGGAGCCTGGTCCATTCATCCCTTCAAGGATGCCAGGAACCTCAGGTAGTTGTGTAAATGAGTATCTCCTCTGCACTCAGCTACCTTTGCTGTATCTTATTGTTTGCTTTCTCTTTTTTGTAGTTGAATGCTGCTTTCTTTCTCTGTAAAATCTCTTACACATGGGATAAAATACAAGTAGCCCCAGAACAAAGTAGTGTTTTATTTCTCTGGAAACTATTTTCTTGTGGTAGTATCTTAATCAGTTTTCTCACTGTAAGATTATGCTTGTATTATATATTATTGTATCTGAATACACTGGAATGGCTAAAAAGTTACAATGATCTCAATTATACTTAAAATTATATTCAAAACATTTTTTATTTAATACTTTATTCTACTGCATATTTCCAGGTATTTCAAACTGAATATACTTTTGGTATTATTTAGACATTGTTTTATTTATATTCTAGGATAAGAAGTGTGGGAATAAATTATAACATAGAATTTTACCTTATGTAGGAGCTGTCCCAAAAACATGAACTTCATGTTGATGAAGACTTTTGTGATCATTATTTCAAGAATGTCAACTGTTGGACAACAAAGAATGAAAACTTAGATTGCAACAGTGATTCACAGGTGTTTCCCTCTTTGAATGTGAGTATCTGACTTGCCATGTTAAAATAAAGTTTATTTTATTCTCAGTGAATACAAGTATCAACTGAAGTAGTGTTTTATCAGAATTTTGTAAAGGTGGTTAACTTGTTAATTTTTAGGTTTTGTTTTTTTTTTTGTGTGTGTATAGTAGTAAATAAGTAAGATCGTTGGCCGGGTGCCATGGCTGACACCTGTAATCCCAGCACTTTGGAAAGCCAAGATGGGTGGATCACCTGAGGTCAGGAGTTTGAGACCAGCCTGGTGAAACCCTGTCTTTACTAAAAATACAAAAATTAGCTGGATATGTGCCTGTAGTCCCAGTTACTCACATGGCTGAGGCATGAGAATTGCTTGAACCCAGGAGGTGGAGGTTGCATTGAGCCGAGATCACGCCACTGCACTCCAGCCTGGGTGACAGAGCAAGAATCCATCTCAAAAAAAAAAAGATACTGATACCATTGTTCCATTTTCTTGCAACTTATTTTGGCAACATCCTTGCAAGGGTGTTTTATATCTGCTACCTCCAGTTTATCTCTCACTCTTTCTTCTGTCAACTACAGTCAGACCTTTGCATCCATCATCCCATCAAAACAGCTCTTGTCAAAGTCACCAGTGACTTCCATGTTGTTAAATCCAACAAAACAGCCCTACTCAAAGTCACCAGTGACTTCCATGTTGTTAAATCCAATGATCTGTTCCTCTTACCAAAAATCTTGACTTATCAGCATTTGACATACTTCAACACTACCATCTCCTTTATGCAGTTTCTCCCTCCCAATGTGGAAGCTTAGATTCTAAAATGTTAACAGCAGTCAGCCTTCGGTAGTGAGGTTATGGGGCATTTAAATTTATTTTTTGTTCTTTTGCAAATTCTAAAATGAGAATGTTTTTAGTAAAAGTTTTAGAGGAGTTCTCTTTAAAATGTGTTGAAATATAATAAACACAGTAAAAGTACACATAAGTGTGCCCCTCGAAGAATTTTTAAAAACTGAGCACAAACATGTAGCCATGATGAATTATAGCACATTTTAGCACCTAGAACTCCCTTTTAGTTCTTAGCACTTTCCCTGCCAATGACGACACTATCCTCATTAAGGAGTAAGTTTTATTTTTAACTTTTATGTTCAGGGGTATGTACACGTGCAGGTTTGTTACATAGTAAACTCACGTCATAGGGATTTGTTGTGCAGATTATTTCCATGAGCCAGGTAGTAAGTTTAGTACCCAATAGTTATTTTTTCTACCTCTCTACCTCCTCCCAGCCTCCACCCTTAAGTAGGCCCCTCTTTGTGTCTGCTGTTGCCCACTTTGTGTCCATGTGTTCTCATCATTTAGCTCCTACTTGTTAAGTGAGAATATGCAGTATTCGGTTTTTTGTTCCTGTGTTAGTTTGCCAAGGAAAATGGCTTCCAGCTCCATCTTTGTCCCTGCAAAGGCCATGATCTCCTTTTTTATGTCTGCATATTATTCTATGGTTTATATGTACCACACTTTCTTTATCCGGTCTACCATTAATGGGGAATTTAGGTTGATTCCATGTCTTTGCCAGTGTGAATTGTGCTGCAGTGAACATTTGTGTGCATATGTCTTTATGACAGAATGATTATATTCCTTTTGGTATATACCCAGTAATAGGATTGCTGTGTCAAATGGTAGTTCTGTTTCCAGCTCTTTAAGGTATCACCAAACTGCTTTCCACAATGGTTGAACCAATTTATACTCCCACCAGAAGTGTATAAGCAATCCCTTTTCTCTACAACCTTGCCAGCATCTGTTATTTTTTGACTTTTTAATAATAGCCATTCTGATTTGTGTAAAAGGGTATCTCATGTGGTTTCAATTTGCAGTTCTCTAATGATCAGTGATATTGAGCTTTTTAAAATATGCTCATTAGCTGTATGTATGTCTTCCTTTGAAAAGTATCTGTTCATGTCCTTTACTCACTTTTTAATGCTTGTTGTTGTTGTTGTTTTCCTTGTAAATTTATCTAAGTTCCTTATAGATGCTGGATTTTAGACCTTTGTCAGATGCATAGCTTGCAAATATTTTCTCCCATTCTGTAGGTTATCTTTTTACTCTGTTGATAGTTTCTTTTGCTGTACAGAAACTCTTTAGTTTAATTCGATCCCATTTGTCAATTTTTGCTTTTGTTGCCATTGCTTTTGGCCTCTTTGTCATGAAATTGTCACCTGTTCCTGCATCCAGAATGGTATTGTCTAAGTTGTCTTCCAGGGTTTTTATAGTTTTAGGTTTTACCTTTAACTCTTTAATCCATCTTGAGTTGATTTTTGTATATGATGTAAGGAAAGGATCTAGTTTCAATCTTTTGCATATGGCTAGCCAGTTATCCCAGCACCGTTTATTGAATAGGGAGTCTTTTTCCCCGTTGTTTGTTTTTGTCAACTTTATTAAAGACCTGATTATTATAGGCGTGCAGCCATATTTCTGGGCTCTCTATTCTGTTCCACTGGTCTATGTGTCTGTTTTTATACCAACACCATGCTGTTTTGGTTACTGTAGCCCTATAGTATAGTTTGAAGTCAGGTAGCATATGCGTCCAGCTTTGTTCTTTTTGGTTAGGATTGCCTTGGCTATTTGGGCTCTCTTCTGGTTCCATATGAATTTTAAAATAGTTTTTTCTAGTTCTGTGAAGAATGTTATTGGTAGTTTGATAGGAATAGCATTGAATCTATAAATTGCTTTGGGCAGCAGGGCCATTTTAATAATATTAATTCTTCATATTCATGAGCATGGATATCTTTCCATTTGTTTTTGTCGTCTCTGATTTCTTTGAGCAGTATTTTGTAATTCTCATTGTAGAGATCATTCGCCTCCCTGGTTAGCTGTATTCCTAGGTATTTTATTCTTTTTGTGGCAGTTGTGAATGGAATTGCATTTGTGATTTGGCTCTTGGCTTGGATGTTGTTGGTGTACAGAAATGCTGGTGATTTTTTTTTTCTCATTCTGTCATCCAGGCTGGAGTGTGGTGGCACAGTCTCAGCTCACTGCAGCCTCCACCTCCCAGCTTCAAGCAATTCACCTGCCTCAGCCTCCCGAGTAGCTGGGATTATAGGCACCTGGCTAATTTTTTGTGTGTTTTTAGTAGAGATGGTGTTTCATTCTGTTGGCCAGACTGTCCTCAAAATCCTGAGCTTAAGTGATCCACCCGCCTCGGCCACCCAAAGTGCTGAGATTACAGGAGTGAGCCACTACACCCAGCTGCTAGTGATTTTTGTATGTTGATTTGGTATCCCAAAACTTTGCTGAAATTGCTTATCAGCTTAAGGAGCTTTTGGGCAGAGTATGGGGTTTTCTAGATATAAAATCATGTCATCTGCAAACAGGGATAGTTTGACTTCCTCTCTTACCGTTTGGTTGCTCCTTATTTCTTTCTCTTACTTGATTGCTCTGGCCATAACTTCCAATACCATGTTGAATAGGAGTGGCAAGAGAGGGCATCTTTGTCTTGTGCCTGTTTTTAAGGGAAATGCTTCCAGCTTTTACCCATTCAGTATGATGATGGCTATGGGCTTGTCATAGATTACTGTCATTATTTGAGGTTTGTTACCTCAATACCTAATTTATTGAGAGCGTTTAACATGAAAGGATATTGTATTTTATCCAAAGCCTTTTCTGCATCTATTGAGATGATCATGTGGTTTTTGTCTTTAATTATCTTTATGTAATAAATCATGTTTATTGATTTGTATATGTTGAACCTACCTTTTATCCCAGGGGTAAAGCCTGCTTGATCATAGTAGATTAACTTTTTGATGTGCTGCTGGATTTGGTTTGCTAGTATTTTGTTGAGGATTTTTGCATCAATGTTCATCAAAGATACTGGCCTGAAGTCTTCTTTTGTCATGTCTCTGCTAGGTTTTGGTATCAGAATAATGCTGGCCTTATAGAATGAGTTGGGGAGGTGTCCCTCCTCCTCAGTTTTTTTGGAATAGTTTCAGTAGGAATGGTACCAGCTCTTCTTTGTACTTCAGTAGAATTTAGCTAAGTGAATCCATCTGGTCTTGGGCCTTTTTTTGGTTGGTAGACTACATCCATTTCAGAGCTTCTTATTGGTTTGTTCAGGGAATCAGTTTCTTCCTGGTTTAGTCTTGGGAGGGTGTATGTGTCCAGGAATTTATCCATTTATTCTAAATTTTCTTGTTTGTTTGCAGAGAGGTGTTCATAGTATTTTCTGATGGTTATTTGTATTTCCGTGGGGTCAGTGGTAACATTCCCTTTGTCATTTCTAATTGGGTTTATTTGGATTCTGTCTTTTCTTCTTTATTAATGTAGCTGGCAGTCTATCTGTCTTATTAATTTTTTCAAAAAACAGCTCCTGGATTCACTGATGTTTTGAATGTTTTTTTGTCTCTCAGTGTCCTTTACTTCAGCTATGATTTTGATTATTGCTTGTCTTCTGCTAGCCTTGAGATTGGTTTGCTCTTGCTTCACTAGTTCTTTAGTTGTCCTGTTAGGTTGTTAGTTTGAGATCTTTTTAACTTTTCTTTTTTTTGAGACATAGTCTCACTCTGTTGCCCGGGCTGGAGGGCAGTGGTGCGATTTTGGCTCACTGTGACCTCTGCCTCCCAGGTTCAAGCAATTCTCCTGCATCAGCCTCCTGAGTAGCTGGGATTACAGGCATCTGCCATCACACCCAGTTAATTTCTATATTTTTAGTAGAGATGGGGTCTCGCCATGTTGGCCAGGCTGGTCTCAAACTCCTGACCTCAGGTGATCCACCTGCCTCAGCCTCTGAAACTGCTGGAATTACAGGTGTGAGCCACCGCACCCAGCCAAGATCTTCCTAACGTTTCAATGTGGGCATTTAGTGCTATAAATTTCCCTCTTAACACTGCCCTACCTGTGTCCTAGAGATTCTGATATGTTGTATCTTTGTTCTCATTAGTTTCAAAGAACTTCTTGATTTCTGCTTTAATTTTATTATTTACCCAAAAGTCATTCAGGAGCGGGTTTTAAATTTCCATGCAATTATATGGTTTTTGAGAGATTTTCTTAATCTTGATTTCCAATTTTATTGTGCTGTGGTCTGAGAGAGTGGTCGGTATGATTTTGGTTCTTTTGCATTTACTGAGCATTGCTTTATTTCCGATTGTGTGGCCAATTTTAGAGTATGTGCCATGTGGAGATGAGAAGAGTGTATATTCTGTTATTTTTGAGTCACGAGTTGTGTAGATATCTATCAAGTCTATTTGATCCAGTGTTGAGTTCAGGTCCCAAATATCTTTGTTAATTTTTTCAGTGATCTGTCTAATACTTTCAGTTGGGTGTTGAAGTCCCTCACTATTATCATGTGGGAGTCTAATTCTCTTTAAATGTTTCCAAGAACTTGCTTTATGAATCTGGGTGCTCCTGTGTTGGGTTCATATATATTTAGGATAGTTAAGTCTTCTCTTTGAATTGAACTCTTTACTATTACATAATGCTTTTCTTTGTCTTTTTTGATCTTTGTTGATGTAAAGTCTGTTTTGTCTGAAGTTAGGCCTGCAACCCCTGCTTTTTTTCTCTTTTCTATTTGCTTCGTAGATTTTTCTCCAATTTTTTTTTTCTTCTGTTTTTCTTTTGAGCCTATGAGTGTCATTGCATGTGAGATGGGTCTCTTGAAGATGGCAAACCATTGGGTCTTGCTTCTTTATCCAGCTTGACACTCTGTGCCTTTTAATTGGAGCTTTTAGTATGGATATTGTGGATCTGATCCTGTCATTGTGTTGTTAGCTGGTTATTATGCAGACTCATTTGTGTGGTTATAGTGTCACTGGTTTGTGTACTTAAATGTGTGTTTTGTAGTGGCTGGTAATAGTCTTTCCATATTTAGTGCTTCTTTCAGGAGCTCTTGTAAGGCAGATCTAAATGAATTCCCACACCATTTGCTTGTCTATAAAGGATCTTATTTCCCCTTCACTTAGGAAGCTTAGTTTGGCTGGACATAAAGTTATTGGTTGGAATTTCTTTTCTTTAAGAATGTTGAATATAGGCCTCCAGTCTTATCTTCTTTTAGGGTTTCTGCTGAGAGGTTTGCTGTTAATCTGATGGGCTTTCCTTTGTGGGTGACCTGACCTTTATTTCTAAGTGCATTTAATGTTTTTTCTTTCATTTTGACCTTGGAGAATCTGATGATTTATGTCTCTTGGGGATGATATTCTTGTAAAGTATCTTGTGGGGGTTCTTTGTATTTCCTGAATTTGAATGTTGGCCCCTCTAGCTAGGCTGGGGAAGTTCTCATGGATGATATACTAAAGTTAAGTTTTTCAAGCTGCTTCCATTCTCCTCATCTCTTTCAGGAGTGTCAGTGAGTCTCAGATTCAGTCTCTTTATACGATGGGGTAATTTTTCAAAAGCAGAACTTTGTTTCTCACGATTGGAGTACAGTGAGATTTGTGCTTTGATGTTTAAATTTTAATTCTTAATTTTTCTTCTTTTTTCTTAATTATTAAAACAGCTTTTCTCCATAGAAATACAGCAGTATAAAATGGCATTGTTTACTCTTTTTTCCAGAATAAAGAACTAATAGATATCAGAAATGTTTCAAACCAGGAAAGATCAATGGTAAGCAGTTTGATTTGTCTTTAAGTCAAATATACGCAAGTTAACATAAGACTGAAAAAAGTCGCTGAGAGTGATATAAAGTAGGGTTATTAGAATTGTAGTGAAAAAAGGAAGCATTGTTTAAAACCATATGGTTTCAGGCCAGGTGCGGTAGCTCATGCCTGCAATCCCAGCACTTTGAGAGGCTGAGACAGGTAGATTGCTTGAGGCCAGGAGTTTGAGACCAGCCTGGCCAACATGGCAAAGCCTCATCTCTACTAAAAATAGGAAAATTAGCCAGGCATGGTGGCACATGCCTGTAATCCCAGCTACTGGGGATACTGAGGCATGAGAATCACTTGAACCTGAGAGGCGGAGGTTGCAGTGAGCTGAAATTGCACCACTGAACTCTAGCCTGGGTGACATAACAAGACTGTCTCAAAGAAAGAGTTTTCTTATATATGTCTACGTGAGTTTTGTATATGCTATTTCTATCTTTGTCTAAAAATCTTTTTAAAGTAATTTAAGATGAATTTCTATGCAGCCTTTCTTTTCTTTAAAAAATAAAATTCTACCTCTGAATGTCTAAGATAGCATACCAATGGGCTGTGATTGTCATTAAGGATTTAAAGAAACAGAAACCATGAATTTAGCATGTGGAAGGGAAATTTTGTCATTTTGGGGAATTACTTAAAGTCAGAAGACTGAGTAAGAGCCCGAAAGGGTTGGGAGTTATATGTAGGGCCTGAAAGCAGGTTTGGGAGAGTATGTTTGCTTATATACTATGACTCTTCATGTTTTGTCTTCAGCCATCTGAAAGAAGTTTGATAATGGAAAGGCACTCACTCTGCAGTGGCCAGGACAAACTTTGTACAGAATCTGTCATGATGAGGAATAGGAAATGAAAGAAATGGAAAGGAAGTATTCAGGAAAGTGGAGTATAAAAAGTGTGTTCCGACTGGGTGCGGTGGCTCATGCCTGTAATGCCAGCACTTTGAGAGGCTGAAGCAGGCAGATCATCTGAGGTCAGGAGCTCAAGACCAGCCTGGCCAACATGGTGAAATCCCGTCTCTACAAAAATACGAAAATTAGCCAGGCATGATGGCAGGTGCCTATAATCCCAGCTATCCTGGAGGCCGAGGTGGAGAATCATTTGAACCCAGGAGGCAGAGGTTTCAGTGAGCTGAGGTAATGCTGTTGCCCTCCAGCCTGGGCGACAGATCGAGACTCACTCTCAAAAAAAAAAAAAGTGGTCCAGGTATGGTACGGTGACTCATGCCTGTAATCCCAGCACTTTGGGAGGCCAAGGCGGGCGATCACAAGGTCAAGAGATCAAGACCATCCTGGCGAACATGGTGAAACCCCATCTCTACTAAAAATACAGAAATTAGCTGGGTATGGTGGCACACACCTGTAGTCTCCACTACTTGGGAGGCTGAGGCAAAATTGCTTGAACCCGGGAGGAAGAGGTGGCAGTGAGCTGAGATCATGCCTCTGCACTCCAGCCTGGCAACAGAGCAAGACTCTGCCTCAAAAAAAAAGTGTGGTCCAGTTATGGGAGGGCACTGGAGAATTTACAAGTGTTACAGTAGGAAGTTTTTCCTTAGTGGAACTACAGGTAACATAGTACCTTAAGAAATTTGAATCATTTTGCTTATATACTTAATCTGCGTCATTTCTGGCAATGTTATCTAACTTCCTCTTACCCCAATTCAATTTAAAAACCACACAATAGGCCAGGCATGGTGTCAGGCACCTGTAATCCCAGCTATTCAGAGGCTGAGGCACGAGAATTGCTTGAACCCAGGAGGTGGAGGTTGCAGTGAGCCAAGATTGCATCACTGCACTCCAACCTGTGTGAGAGTGAGACTCCATCTCAATAAATAAATAAATACTAAAAACCACATATTTAAGTAAAACAAGGTGTTTGATAATATTAGGATCAATATGAGAAGAATAATATTAGAACAGTGTTTTTTTGAGACGCAATCTCTCTCCGTCACCCATGCTGAAGTTCAGTGGTGCTATCTCTGCTCACTGCAACCTTTGCCTGCCGGGTTCAAGCAGTTCTTCTGCCTCAGCCTCCCAAATAGCTAGAACTACAGGTGCCTGCCACCATGCCTGGCTAATTTTTGTATTTTTAGTAGAGATAGAGTTTTGTCACATTGGCCAGGGTGGTTTCAAACTCCTGAGCTCAAGTGATCCACCCACCTTGGCCTCCCAAAGTGCTAGGATTACAGGTGTGAGCCACCCTGCTTAGCCCTAGAAAAAGTTTTTTATTGATAATATTAAGCAGTATATAGAACAGTAATATTAGGGGGAACCTGTAAAAATATAAAAGATAGAAAACATTAAAGAATGAGAAAAGCTTCTTTTCTCCTTTACCTTTTTAGGTTTGGGAGGATGGTGGCTAAAAAATAAGAGAAATAGCTGTTCTTCCATTTCCTGCCATTCCTTTTCTGTTTTATTTTTTTCTGTGTTTTTAAAAAGTAACCCAATACGGCTGGGCGCAGTGGCTCACGCCTGTAATCCCAGCACTTTGGGAGGCCAGAGGCCAAGGGGGGAGAATCGCATTAGGTCAGGAGTTTGAGACCAGCCTGGGGAACATGGTGAAAACAAAACAAAACAGAACAAAAACAGAAGGGAAAAGTTAAAATATAGAAAGTTGAAAAAGTAACCCAATTCAGTTATTTTAAAATACGGCAAACAGTTGTTCAGCTATGTTATATAGCAATTTGTTAAAAATAACATGAAGAATTTTTTTCCCTTCTATTTCAGGATGTGGTAGCCAGAACACAAAAAGATGGGTTTCATATCTTTATTGTTTCCATTAAAACGGAGAATACAGATGCCAGTTGGAATTTGAATGGTATAGTTAAACTGCATGCATGTTTACTGTCTGCATTTTCTGTATTCTGTAGTTTTGTCACTGACCTGAGCCAACATGCTGTTTGAAATACAACATTCAAAAATGAATTTCTATTAATCATACATTTATTTTAGATACTTAAAATGTAACATTAAGCTCTCTTAATGCTATTTATTTTTTGATAGATTGAAAATTTTACTATGTTAATTTAAGAAATTTTTAAAATTTCAGACTTCATAGTGGGGTGTAAAATTCTCCATTCTTTTAGGTTAAAACAATTTTCTAACGTGGAAATATGTAGGCAACATGTCAGTTGTATTTTCAAGTAGGTTATGTTCTTTGTTTCTTGAAAATGGCCATCATCAGGGGTTTAAGATTTTTATCATTTGGCAAATTTCATTTTAAAGGATCTGTCTGTAGCCTAGGAGTAGAAGCAGCATATCTGCCAGCATGTGGCTTCTGTGGTCTGTGAGGCACCCCCACCTCTTAAGTTAGACCCTCTGTGCCTTGTTAACCTGTGGTTCCTTAGTGCCAGAAAAGTAGACTCACAATAAGCAACTTTCAAGAGAATGAATGCTTTCACGTTTTCTAGAATCACTTTGGCTGATGTTTTCCATAGTGGATATCTACTGGGTCAGCAGTAGCCAATCAGCATGTGAGGGCACTGGGGATTTGATATTGCTCTGATTCAGCCAGTGGGGTCAGAAACCAGTGAGGTGAGGTAGGCATTGCTGCAGAGGAGGTATGGTCTGGTGTGCTGCATGGCCTGTGAAGGGAAGCTGGCAAGGTGGCTGCTCTGGAAAAGTGTGAGATAAGGCTTCCTTCTGGAGATGGCATCATGAGCCAGACCGTGCCAAGCAAAGGAAGCAGGGACCCTGAGGCCATTCTGTCACCCAGCTATCTTAGTCTGTTTGTGCTGCTATCACAGAATACTTGACACTGGGTAATTTATAAAGAGCAGACATTTATTTCCCTGCAGTTCTGCGGGCTGGAATGTCCAAGATCAAGATGCCAGGAAGTTCAGTGCCTAGTTAGGGCTCTGGTGTCTGCTTCCAAGGTGGCACCTTAAAGGATATGTTCTCACACAGCAGAAAGGATGGAAAGGCAGGAAGCACAAAAGGGGACCACTACTGTGCCCTCACAGGGTGGAGGCAGAAGAGCAAAGAAGGGCCTAAACTAGTTCCCTCCAGGTCTTTTGTAAGGCATTAATCTATCCCAAAAGACCCCATTTCTTAATACCACCACAATGAGGATGAAGCTTTAATTAATTTTGGGGGACATTCAGACCATAGCACCAGTGTTGTACCCGCTTCTTTCTCAGGCATTGTGTCTTTTCCCCTGACTTCAGTGGGGAGTTTTGAGCCCCTGCTAGTTAGTAGCTGGAGCTGTTGCTGAGCCCTGCATGTTTTGTGATGTACTTGGCACTTGGTTTATTATTGCTGTCTCAGACAAAACCCAAACTAGATGTGTGAGTTTGGTAATTTATTCCAAGTAACATCATGGAAGATAAGGTCCTCAGTGAGATCAGTGAATTAGCAAGGGGGCCAGTCTGGGGTTTTCTTTGGTAGCTAGGACTACTCTGCTTCTGATATGATCAGATTTGGCACAGGTTTTTAGAATGGCATATATACAAGTAAAGATATCTCTTTTTTTCTTTTTATTGTAAACTGACAATTATAATGATATAAATGTATGAGGTACAAAGCAATGTTATAATCTATAAATACAATGTGGAATAATGAAATCAAGCTAGTTAACATATTCATCACCCCAGATGCTTAACATTCTTTGTGGTGAGAACATTTGAAATGTACTCTCTTAGCAATTTTGAAACATACAGTACTCTATTAACTATTCACCATGCTGTGCAATAGAGCTCAAAAAAAGAAAAAACTTACTCCTCCTCTCTGAGATTTTTTTTACCCTTGGACAATCATCTCCCCATGCCTTCCACCCCCCAGCCTCTGTACCCACCATTCTGCTCTCCTTCTAGGCATTCGTTTGTTTCAGATTCCACATATAAGTGAAAATGTGCAGTATTTGTCTTTCTGTACCGGACTCATTTCACTCAACACAATGTTTTCCAGTTCTATCCGTGTTGTTGCAAATGACAGAGTTTTCTTTTTAAAGGCTGAATAGTATTTGATTGTGTATATATATACACATTTTCTTCTTCCATTCATCTGTTGATGGACCCTTAGGTTGATTCCGTAACTTCACTACTGTGAATAGTGCTGCAGTGAACATGGGGGTGCAGACAACTCTTTGACAAACTGATTTTAGATCTTTTGGGTAAATAGTAAAGTGGGATTACTGGATTATATGGTAATTCTGTTTTTAGTTTTTTGAGGACCTTCCATATTGTTTTTTAAAATGGCTGCACTAATTGACATTTTCACCAACAGTATACAAAGCATCCCTTTTCTCCACGTCTTCACCAACACTTCTTTTCTTTCATCTTATTGATGAAAGCCATTCTGACAAGTGTGAAATGATATTGGGGTTTTAATTTGCATTTCTTTAATGATTAGGGATGTTGAGCATTTTTCATACATTAACATCAGTTGATCATTTATATGTCTTCTTTTGAGAAATGTCTATTTAGGTCCCTTGCCCTTTTTTTTTTGTTTTTTTGAGACAGGAGCTTGCTTTGTCACCCAGGCCAGAGTGCAGTGGCATCATCTCAGCTCACTGCAACCTCCGCCTCCTGGGTTCAGTTGAGTCTCCTGCCTCAGCCTCTCAAGTAGCCGGGATTACAGGTGCATGCCACCACACTTGGCTAATTTTTTTGTTTTTAGTAGAGACAGGGTTTCACCATATTGGCTAGGCTGGTCTCCATCTCCTGACCTCAAGTGATCCGCCCACCTCAGTCTCCCTAAGTGCCGGGATTATAGGCATGAACCATCACGCCCAGCCCCTTGCCCATTTTTTCAGTTGGGTTTTTTGTTTTCTTGCTGTTGAGTTGCTTGAGCTTATATATTTTGGATATTAATTCCTTCTTGGATAAATGGCTTGCAAATTTTATCTCTCAGTCTCTAAGTTATGTCTTCTGTTAATTGTTTCCTGTGCTGCACATATGCCTTTTATATTGATGTAATCCCATTTGTCTATTTTGGCTTTTGTTGCCTGTGCTTCTGGGATCAAATCCAAAAAATCATTGCTCAGACCAGTGTTGTGTAGTATTCTCCCTGTTTTCTTCTAGCAGTTTTAGAGGTTCTGGTTTTACAGTAAAGATATCTTATAAAGTTTATATAATCAAACAATTACTAATTAATTGTTCAATACCGTATATGTGCTACATAAAAATTCAGCATTTGTTAGTGTGATTTGTATTCTTGGAGTCTTCTGGGAAATGAGCTTACATTTAAAGGCTTAAGACTGACTGATAATTAACTCTCTCTTCTTCTCTATCCCAGTTTCTCTTTCTATGATTGGGCCTCATGGATATATCTCTGCATCAGATTGGCCCTTAATGATTGTGAGTATTTCTCATCATTTTTTCCTTTTTAAAAAATGAATTTTATACCTTAAGAGCTTTGTGGTAGTAATTCCTCAGTAGCTGATGCTTTGACATGTCTTCTATTTCTGGTTCCAGAGTGACTAGAAAATGAAAGGTTGGATATCTGAATGTAGAAGTGCCAACTTTCGAGTGATCAGAAGGCTTAACTGACTAAAATTGCTTCTCTTTCTACAGTTTTACATGGTGATGTGTATTGTTTACATATTATATGGCATACTCTGGCTGATGTGGTCTGCCTGTTATTGGAAAGATATATTAAGAATACAGTTCTGGATTGCAGCTGTTATTTTCCTAGGAATGCTTGAAAAAGCAGTTTTTTATAGTGAATACCAAAACATCAACAGCACTGGACTGTCAAGTAAGTTTTGGCTGTCTCCGTAAATACAGTATGATCAGAGAGTTTCCCAGCATTTGGGAACAGAGGTGTGGGAGGCCCCTTCCGAACAGTGGTTTGGAAACAGCCATATTACAGATGAAGAGAAGGGAAGCCAAGAAGAGAATGTCAGAGTAGGCCTCTGATCTGGTCTAGTATGTGTCCTCTCTTCATTATCTGTTTTCCTTCTTGTTAACTTTCCCCTCACCTTCCTCCTGGGAAAAATAAAACTCCCATTCCCTAAGGGTCAGCTTGAATTAAAACAGTACAAAGTTCTGGACAGGAAGATTTCAGGTGCTGTCAGTTTTTTTTAACATATTTCTCGTTCCCACCACATCTTCTTTTCCTTCTCCCCCACCAAAAAAAGAAAGGTTCAATTTGGATTGAAACAGCACAAAATTCTGGACAGGTAGATTTCAGGTGCTGTCAATCCTTTTAACATATTTTTCCTTCCCCCCACATCTTCTTTTCCTTCTCCTCCAAAAAAAGGAAAGAAAGGAGGTTGGCCACAGGGAGTAAAATCAGGGGTGCTGGAATGGATGGTGCCTGCAGCCTTCTTGCGCTCTCACCACCTTGTTATGCCTACAAAGATATTCATATGACCAGCGGAGGCATGATCACAGTTTATACAGTGGAATATGTGAGGCAGGGAGGGCATACAGCTGGGCATCCTCAGTTGTATGCCCCAGACTTCTAGAAAGTAGATTTCAAAAAAGCCAGAGAAGTAAAGGTACAGCTCTCCCACCGAACCTTTGGAAAGAGCAAGCTCAAAGGGGTTGAGCGAGCTTAAGAGTGTACTTCTGAGTGACCAGTTACAAATGATCTTGGTGCAGATTTTCAAAGGACATGATTCTGTCTGTTATTGATTGATTGACAAGGTCTCGATCTGTTGCCCAGACTGGAGTTCAGTGGTGTGATTTCAGTTTGACCTCCAGGCCCAAATGATCCGCCCACCTCAGCTTCTGGAGTAGCTGGCACTATGTGTCTGTTACTTATTTTAAAATACTCTAGAAGAAAAAATGAACTGGACTATAGATGAAACAAATTTGGCATAACATTGCTAATTATTGACGCTGCATGATGGGTACATGGGAAATTATATTGCTTTCTCTCTTTTTGGGGAGTATTTGAAATTTCCCCAAATAAAAAGTTAAAAAGGGCATGTACCAAAGAATAAAGAAAGGGCAAACATCCAGGAATGTATATTAGAGATATCACTACTCTGTAAGAAGTTTTTTATGGGAGGTATATGTATGTGCATGCATGTGTGTGCACATGCACTCTAAACCAGATGCTGAAGAAAGGCTAGGTCTGCTGCTTCGGATTGAAGCATTCCTAATGTAGAGAAGACAGTCCTGATACTTTGCTGTTAGTGGTTGTAATCTCTTGTTTAGTGAGGGTAAAGGGTGGCATGGACTTCAGTGAGGAGCATCAAAAACCTGAGATCCATGAAGAGGTGAGAGGCCATCTGCCATCCTCAGGGAATCTAAGCTGTCCGAGATGGCACTAGAGGGCTTAGAAGAGATACCCAGACTGCTGTCAAGGTCTTTGAGGAGCCCTGTCCAATAGGAGAGATGCCAAAAGACTGACTAGGAGCTGATGTCCTTTGTGATGTTCCCAAGTGGGAATTCTGTGACGGGGCTGTCTTGCCCAGCATTGATCCTGAAGCATCAAATTTAGAAAAATAATTAGAAGGACGAGAACCATTGATTGTTAGGACCCGACATGGGTACATTGAGAATAGATCATGTCAGACTAATTTTTTTTCTTTTGGGATGCTAGAATGACAGGAAAATGTAAACTTAGTATAAATGACCTCTTCAAGGCATTTGACAAGGTCTCTTATGACTTCTTGTGGACGAGATGACCTGAAAACTGGTGGTGCAGCCATATCTAAAGAGCTCATGGAGATAATCACTGGTCAGTCTAGACCTGTGCTGTTCTCTGTGGTAGCCACAAGCCACATCCGAGTACTTAAGTAAAATTAAATAAATTAAAAATTAGATTCCTCAGTTGTTCTAGCTTCATCTAAAGTGCTCAGTAGCCACAGGTGACCAGTGGCTGCTGTATTGGACAGCACAGAGGTAGACCACTTCCATCATTGCAAAAGGGTCTCTGGGACAGCACTGGTCTGGAGCAATGGTTCTCATCCCTGGTTTTACATCAGCATCGCTTGAAGAACTTCAAAATGGTACCAGTGCCAGAGATTATGATTAGCAGATCTAGGAATTGAGGGCAGTGTAAAGGCTTCCAGGCGATTCCAGAGTGCATTTAGGATTGAGAACCGTTGAGCTAGGAGGCTTTGAATGGTGCCTGTCTCACAGATTTTAGGCCTTGTTGCTGGTTTATTCTTGTGAATCTGTTGGTTTGTTCAACTAACATTATTTTGTGACTACGTAGACAGCATTCTCTTAAATTTTGTGGATGATGTGAGGCTGTGCCCAGCAGAGCTGATTAGGTAGATAGAGAGTGAACTCTTTAGTAGGGAGTGAACCCTTCACTGAGGTTTTCAAGTATCAGTTGGATTCAATGACTTTTAAATCAAATGTGGCTGATTAGTCTGAAGTCCAAATGTAGTTATACACAGGACACGTTGAGAATCTTGGTTGGCAGGCTTCCCGATGTACACAAAGTGAATTATTTTATTTTCTTCTTCCTCAGCCCAAGGTTTATTGATATTTGCGGAGTTGATTTCTGCGATTAAGAGGACATTGGCTCGCCTCCTTGTGATCATTGTGAGCCTGGGCTATGGCATTGTGAAGTAAGTGCTGGCATGTGGGAAAGATGCTGGGTCCCAGCCCATTGATTCAGTCCATTTTGCATTATGACCTTTGCAAAAATGTAACTTTTCAGTATTATAATACAAATCCATTTGGGAAAAATCCACAAGAACACATTTTTAAAAGATTTCCACATACTTGCTATTGTATATTATTTTCCAGTAAAGACCCTGAGTTTGTATTTCAATAACTTTATATAGTTAGATGAATAAATAATCAACTTTAGGATAATGGAAAATCTAAAATGATTCAAACAATTTTCAAACCCTTTTCTGTTTTCTAGACAGTACCATTAAGATTTTATGGTCATATTTGAGTGTTGTAAGAGAGAGTGCATTAAACACCGAGTCAGCAAAACTTCTGACTGAAACCTATCTGTCCTCTGAGGACCCTGCTTTTGGACCTTCTCCAGCATGTCTTTTCTCCCTCTGACCTGTGAATCACTGGACATAACTATGGGAGAACTTGATTTCCTTTTTTTTTTTTTTTCAACAAAATTTCTTTTTTTAAAGACGGGGTTTCACCATGTTGGTCAGGCTGGTCTTGAACTCCTGACCTCAGGTGATCCACCTGCCTTGGCCTCCAAAGTGCTTGGAGGCATGAGCCACTGCGCCCAGCCGACGAGAACTTGATTTCTATCCATGTTGCGTTTTTCAGACCATTCTTCCTGCTTCTTTCCTAAAACCCTGATTCCCAGAAGCTCGCTCTTCAGGCTGGACCACCCGCTGCGTCTTGTGGCCACTGTGGGCTTCCAGGCTCTCCCTCATCCTTTAGTTTGTGGGCACCGACTTCACAGGTGTTATCATGAGCATTTCATCTGTCAGAAGGCCCTGGGGTCTCAGGAGCCATGTGGATGACCCTTTAAGTAACCTGACCTCACCTCCCCATCTCTCCTGCTCTTGCCTGTTCACTGCATTTCAGTTACTGATTCCCAGGATCGTTTTCTATACTTTATGTATAATTGTACGCTGTTCAAAATCTCAGTTTTAAGCAATCCACTTTTCAACTGTCACCTCCTCTGTTTCCTATTTACTTTCTCTAACATGTCAGCTTCAGTCATTTTTGACTGTACTGTGACCTCTAGCCTTTTGGCCCTGGCACCTTCTATTGTCCCTTCCATCTTACATCCTCACCTTCTTCCTTTTGATTGGATTCCCTGGTTCAGTAGGACACTGACGCCCAAAGACCCCTGCCTTTCTCTTTGTCAGCCTTCTTGACAAAACCTCAGCCTTGCTAAGTCCAGCTTTCCTTCTGCTTCAGGCTGCTACCCGAGCAGGGGGATTTGCCCAAAAAGAACCCTGGACTACACTGAGGGGGCCTGCTTTCCATTCATGACCGTCAACTTCACACCTTCAGTGCTGCTGGCAGTTGTACTCAATCCCCTTGCCACTATTTTCTCACTCTCCTGTCTGCAGAAGACCATTTTACCCTTTCTCCTCAGGCCTCTCAGACTATCCCATCCCTCTCAGCTGACCTTGGGGTTTTTTTCACTGAGGAAGTAGAAGCCATCAGAGGAGAATTCCACTGTGTCTGTGCCCTCAGACCCCAGTATTTCCCCCACATCTGGACCGCATGCACCACCACTTTCCTCCTCCTGGTAGGCGTGGACCACCCCTGCCCTTGTGCCCACTCAACTGTGAGGGACACTGCCCTGGTTTTTCCCTTTGTTCCTGGGCCTGTTTCCTAAAACAAAGGGCCCACTCAACTGTGAGGGAAACTGCTGGGTTTTATTTTCTCTCGCATCATCAGCTTTCCTGTCTGGTAGGTCACCACCATTGACATCTCATTATTTCTACCATTTTTTAAAGCAAAGCCCTCTCTCTGCCCTACATGGCCCTCTCCTCTGCTTCTACCTCATTCACCTTTCCCCTGCGCAGCGTAACTTCTCACATGAGTAGCCTGTACCTCAGCCTCCCCAGTATTGCTCTATTGAGACGGCACTTGTCAAGGCCACTGTGACCTCCCCCTGCCATATCACACGGCCCTGCTCAGCCCTTGTCCAGTTGTCCCGTGAGCAGCTCTAGTCGAGGGTTGCCAGCTTTGCCTGGTTTCCAGGAGCTTGTCTTCCATCCCCTCACATCACTGGCTGGCTGCTCCTCCCCAGCCTCCTCTGCTGCACCTTCCTGTGTTCCTGAGCTCCAGTCACTGGGCAGCCAAGCTCAGGCCTCTGCTCTGTGACTCACACCCGCAGGCTCTCCTCTTGTATGCATGCCTGTTTGCTTGTGAGCTAGGGATTGGGAGTTAGCAGGATTTTAGCCCGGAAGCCTTTATCCCCCAGTACTTTTATTGAGGTTCTTTCTCAAATGCCTTTTGTGTTCTTAGTACAGTGTAGGAAACATCAAGGCCTCTTGTTGAGGAATCTCACAGTTCTGGTTATGAACATCAGATACCAACAGGTGCAGTGTTGGTACTGTGAAAGGAATAGGAGATTGAGTGAATGGGTACAGGCATAAACCCTTTTCGAATGAATCTCTTCATTGTTAGCTTGCTTGACTCAACTCATAAGTGAGAGCAGTAACAGTTCTGGTTATTTGGAGGTTCTGGTTAGTTGTTTATAATGAATCAGATTTCAGTTTCCTTAGATTAGGTAAATAGTCTTAATTAAAAATGAGCTATGACCAATTATTTAATTTTTTACTTATATTTTGTTTTGAAATGACTATCTTAAATATTTTTCTTAAACCAGTTTTTTCTTCTAATTGCTCTCAGAAGAGGGTTTTTGAGTAGCCTAAAATGTATGTGCAAAAAATCCTGATTTGCAAATATAACATTATTCTATTTTAAATTATTAATTGCAAAAACCACCATCTTTGCATTTTCTTTTTTTTTTTTTTTTTTTTTTTTTTTTGAGACGGAGTTTCGCTCTTTTTTCCCAGGCTGGAGTGCAATGGCGCGGTCTCGGCTCACCGCAACCTCCGCCTCCTGGGTTCAGGCAATTCTCCTGCCTCAACCTCCTGAGTAGCTGGGATTACAGGCACGTGCCACCATGCCCAGCTAATTTTTTGTATTTTTTGGTAGAGACGGGGTTTCACCATGTTGACCAGGATGGTCTCGATCTCTTGACCTCGTGATCCACCCGCCTCGGCCTCCCAAAGTGCTGGGATTACAGGCTTGAGCCACCGCGCCCGGCCATCTTTGTATTTTCTCAACTCATTTATATTTTGAAAGAGCCAAAAATTGTTTGTTTGTTTTTTTTGGAGACAATCTCCCTCTGTTGCTCAGGCTGGAGTGCAGTGGTGCAGTCTTGGCTCACTGCAACCTCTGCCTTGCAAGTTCAGGCGATTCTCATGCCTCTGCCTCCCAAATAGCTGGCACTACAGGCATGAGCCAGCACGCTGGCTAATTTTTTGTATGTTTTAGTAGAGATGGAGTTTTACCATGTTGGCCAGTTTGGTCTTGAACTCCTAAGCTCAAGTGATCCATCTACCTTGGCCTCCCAAGGTGCTAGGATTACAGGCATAAGCCACTGGGCCTGACCCAAAAATGTTATTTTCACTGTTTTCAGTTTAAAGAATGAAAATTAAATTCTGTTAGCACTCCTGTTCTGGCTGAGGCCAGTGATCAGAAAGGAGGTCAGGGAGTTCCATCTCCTAATGTTGTGCTCTTTCTCTGCCCAAGTCATGAGACAAGTGAATTATCTCTGAAAAGATAGACCTTAGGGAGAATTAAATTAGACTCTCTGCCAGTGGCACTTAGAAGTTGGCATTTACCTTCTTAGATTTCATCAGTCTACTCTTCCATTCTATAGAAACAGTACCTGAGTTATAGTCATTCTTTTGCTTGAATTGAGCAGCAAGATCCTATGGGACCTTTGTGGCCTCCAAATATTGCTTCACAGGCATCAGTATGGCTTCAGGTCCTAGAGAGAGACCCTTTGTTCCTGGGCCTGTTTCCTAAAACAAAGTACTTCAGAACCAGGAACAGACTGTTGTGATTAGATAGTGACTTCCTGGTACTGGAAATGGTGCCAGTTGCTGTATTCAGGTGCATTTTACTCACCCATGCATTTTCTTTCTGTTTCCTCTTCCTGATTCCAGGCCTCGTTTAGGAACAGTCATGCACCGGGTGATTGGACTGGGGCTTCTTTACTTAATCTTTGCAGCTGTTGAAGGCGTGATGAGAGTCATTGGGGTAAAAACTACATAATTCTAATACCATCCTTTTTTGTTATTGTTGTGAAATGTGGTTTTACTTTGTATCTCCTGAGATGAATTTTTAGGTAGAAACTTGTGAAAAAGGCCCAATTTTTTCTTCTATGAGATGTTTCCCTTTTAAAATACTTCCTGAAAGACAAAGGCTAGGCCGAGTGCTTGTTAAGATGATACGACTGATTGCGAAGGCATCACTTGATATCATCCCAGGTATCAGTCCCATCCCAGAAATGTTCGTGGTTATTCTTCATAGAGAACATTTGTCTTTGTCACTATGCAGCTGGTGTACCTTAATATCATTCTTAACCCTGGATTTTAAAATGTGTCAAGTGAACAGAAAGTTAATCACACCCATACAGTACATTTCATCACTCTTTTAAGCCTCATTTGTTTATTCATTTTCTCTGACTCTTGGGGACTAGCTATTTTGAGGATTCAATAGACCCCGCTATTGGAAGAGCCAGGAGGAGGTGATGGTCAAGGGGAAGGTAACTCTGGCTATGTGAGCAGCAGCACTTTATTCTCTAGAGAAATGTCGGTATTTATGTCTGCAAAACCCCTAGATTTCTAGCTTCAGTTTTTTACTTCTATTTTGTGTGGTTTTTTGTTTGTTTGTCTCGTTGGTTGGTTGGTTGGTTGGTTGGTTGGTTGGTTTTTAGAGACAAGGTCTCACTCTGTTGTCCAGGCTGGGGTACAGTGGCACACAGTCATGGTTCACTGCAGCCTCCAGCTCCTAGGCTTAAGCAATCCTCCTACCCCAGCCTCCTGAACAGCTGGGATTACAGGTGCAGGCCACCACACCCAGCTAATTTTTGTATTTTTTGTAAAGATGGGGGTCTCACTATGTTGCCCAGGCTGGTCTTGAGTTCCTGGCTGGCCTCAAGTGATCCTCTCACCTCAGCCTCCCAAAGTATTGGGATTACAGGTGTGAGCCACCACACCTGGTTGCTTCAGTTTTTTGAATACATGGTTGAGGACTGAGTGATTAGGAAGCTTATTATATTTTACCTAATCCAAAGACCTTTGTCATTTTATCTAAAATGTCTTTTGGATTAGCTGTGTAAATTGGATCATAAATATTTGTCCAATAATACTAAAAAGCCTTATTCTTCTCCCTTTTGTCTTTGATACATCTGCATTCTGTGTTCGATGCTCTTTTAGTCTTTGAGTATATTTATTTTCACCTTTGCGTAATCATGAAGAACTCTGCATTCTTACAACAAATAATAAATATTTGCCAGAAAGAAATAGAAAAGATAAGTATGCCACATGTAAATACAGTACATATATTGTGTTCCTTTAAAACTTTATATAGCTTATTGGCACACTCCTGTAATTCCAGCTACTCGGGAGGCTGAGGCAGGAAAATCTCTTGAACCTGGGAGGCAGAGGTTGCAGTGAGCTGAGATTGCACCATTGCATTCCAGCCTGGGCAACAAGACTGGAGAGCAAAACTCCGTCTCCAAAAAAAAAAAATTTACATAGCCAACATCTTTATGACTTTTACATATGACTAGTCATAGTAAATATCTAACATGGATCTCCCCTTTACCTTTTTTGTGTTCCTTCACAACATGGTCAGGAAAGATCAAGAGTTCATTTCATTAATAGTCCTGGGTGTCGGTTTGGTATGGAGGAGAGAGATTGAAATGGCTGGTGTTAGTGAGGTTGGGGACATGATGCTTTTTATTTGCCATTACATAATACAGTTTTATGTTGCTATCATCAGATAAATTGATGACAATTGGCACTTGTTGCTACCAAAAAACAGGTCATTTCCCTGTACTTAAACACAATTCTCTTAGGAAATTAAATCTTTTATGTGGCTTTGTAAAGTAATGAGATAAGCTAAATTATTTTTCTTCATCAAATGATAATTGCCATAGTGTAATGAAACTGTTACATTCAGATTTCTCCCCCTATTTTTATCTTTCAGGGTTCTAACCATTTAGCTGTTGTCCTTGGTGACATTATTTTAGCAGTTATTGACTCCATTTTTGTGTGGTTCATATCCTTTACTGTGTCCTTCAAAATAGTTTGTTGCCTCATTAAAATCAGATTACATGTAATTTGTAATAACAAATAGAATGATAGAAAGAAATACAATTACACATTTTTGTTACCTCAATACAAGAGTTTAGTTGAAGGTGAAAAAGTAGCAACACCCCCAATAAGGAAAATATTTATTTTTTCTCTATAGTTTAGCAGACAGTTAGTGCCCATGCCCAGTATGTGCCCCATACTGACAAGGCATGGGTGAAAAGTTGTTGTCCCCAAATTTAAGGAATTCACAAGCTTGTAGGGGAGACAGATGCATAACTAGCAGCAATATAGCAGTAGCAGCTTCCATCTTAGAGAGGTGCTGTGCCAACAGGGGAAGAGAGAAGTTAATGCTGGCATAAAAATCCGGAAAGACTTCACAGAGATGGCAACATTTAAATTGAGACTGGAAAGACAAGTAGGGGTTTACTATTAATAAGACGGTCATTAGGGAAGGAGGTATTCTAAGAAGAAATGAGGGGAGCAAATAGTTGAAGCAGGAAAACACAGGGAGACAGTGGCAGAATGTCCAGGAAAGCCTGCCTGTGGGTGGACCTGCATGGGAGAGCCTTGGCAGGCAGTTCAGGGAAGCGTGGCAGGACATGCTCAAGAGCTGAGTGCCTTCCAGAGGCAGGGACTAGAGAGGAATTGAAGCTGCACAGGTGAGTAATGTGATGAAACCTGTGTCAGAGAGAACCCTAGTGACAGAAGATGATGACATGGGAAAGGAGAGTCTAGAGGTAGGAAGGTGAGTCAGTATTCCTTTGCCTTTGCAGTGGTCCAAAGAAGAGATGGTAAGGGTCAGAAATGGGGTAGAGGATATTGGAAGAAGAACCCATGTGATAGACTTGCTAGCAATGGGTGGCCAGAGAAGGGAGAGAAGGCTCTGAAGAGGTCTTGCACATCTCATTTGGATGGCTGGGGGCCGTGTTGCCATTTTCAAGGCAGTGAACTTGGAGGAAGGGCTGTAATGGATGAGGTTTGAGCTGGGTTTGAGCCGCCCAAGGCATTTATATGAAGAAAAGAAATGGAAATCTCAGGCTGGGTTTGTGAGAGGAGTCAGAACTGATTGGAGGTCATCTTACGAGAGAGAAGGTTGCAGCTGCAGAATGATCCAAAGAGAACATGCAGATAGGGAGGATAGGAGCCAGGATGGTGCCTTGTGGGGAGGGAAGTGTGTGTGGAAGAAACACCAGGATGAAGGGAGGTGGGAGGACCAGGAAACTGTCAAAGGGGAGAAGGGAGTGGTGGGGTGGTCAACAGTGGCCAGAGCTGTAGAGATGGCCTTGCAAGGTACGCCTGACTTTGTCCTTCCAGAGGCCAGGATGGGCAGGAAGAGAGCAGATTCAGAGAAGGTTTAGGGGCTGCAGCCATATTACAGGAGAAGTTTTAAAAAAAAGTGGAGACTCAATCCTTGAGGGTCTTCTCTGATTCAATGATTCAAGCTGAGTCTGGGAAATCCCCATTGCTTTTTTCTCCTTGGGGACACTTGTGGAAATGGGAGGAATTCTAGAGAAAATGTGACTGGCCAGAGTAGAATGCAGGGTTATGCATATCCCAGAACATTATTTGCATCTGTTTCTATTATATTTATGTCCTCTTTGAAATGCTTTCCTATTAGTTAGGTTTTATTTTTGCCAAGTTCTTTGTTTCCACTGTTTTTGATACTTAGGTCCTTTAGCTTTTTGACATTTTGTTGTTGTTGTTTTCCTTGTATTTTTTTTTTCCATTTGTTCATCTGTGTGTCTCATAGGAAGGGCTAGAGGGCTTGGATTTCATCACTATGTCTCTCCCTTAGAAGAAAGGTCTCCCATTTTTCAGGTGTGCTAGCAAATGTAGCACTCTTCATAGGCTTTTCTGAGCCCCTTGTGGGTTGTTTTCTAAGTCTGTTCAACCTATTCTTTAAATTCTCTATTTGTGAATTCTCAGTATCCTTCCAACTTAAAAAGCTTATGAAGAGTGCTACAAACCAAAAATTTCTAATTCATTGTCCTTACTCGTCAAAGCAGTAATTCTTAACCTTGTTTGGGTACTAGGTTCAGAAATGCCTTAGAAAATCTGCTAACAGCTGTGGAACCTCTCTTCACAGAATACAGACACACACAAGGAGCTTTGCATATGACAGGGCAGTTAAAGACTTCCCAAATTATATCTGTGGACATCTTAGTCTGAGGAGCCTACTTAGGGAATAATAGCTGATTTAAAAAGTTGTTTCTGACTGAACTTGTTTAAAAAAGCATATTCTACTTTGTTCAGAGCTACTAGTTTAGAATCCCAGTTCGCTGAGTAAAATTTTAGTTAAATAAATCTGATTTTCTCAGAGAGTGATATAGATCTCTTCCTCTGGTCTATATTAAAAAAATTAAAGACATTCATTTGCTAAAAATGTGAAGTCTGTTTCTCAGTTCTGCATGTGAGCAGTGTTCCAGTGATAAGATTACTCACCACAAAGGCTGTAGTCCCGCAGGGACCGCTTGTTGGGGGGCTCACCTGACTTCAGAATGGGCAGGAAGTATAAACATACCTTGCATTGGGACAGGTAGAATTACAGTGGAGATGAACCTGCCTGTTGACCTCAGATTATCATTAGATCTTAGTGTCTTATTTTCTGTCATTGTGTGTTTATAAAATGAGCTGATGATATCTGTTCAATATAGAATTGTCTTGTTTCTAAAATTGTTCATGCTTGGAACTTTAACAAGTTAGGGAGTATGATCTTTCATTCAGTTAATTAAGCTGCAAACTGCATTTTTTAAAAGTTGAACTATCGTTTCTCCTGGTAATTTATGGATATGTATTTCAAAGATTTCTTGTTCTTAACCATCCACAAGAAGTTCATTGGGGAAAACATTCAGTAATGCATCCTGGCAGAAAATTGCAAAGAAAAGCATCTCTAAAGGTTCTAATCCATCTGGATTTGAGTGAGGGTAATTATCACCTTTATGGGCAGCATTGACTTTCACATATCCCAGTACCTGATTAACCAGATTGGGATAGGAAGATAAGGAAAACAGATGAAAGACTTAGTTTGCTTAATTATGAATATTTATAATGAAAATGTTTCAGGAAATAGTCAAAGAAATCTAGAACATAAAAGATCTTGTTTAATGTTTCATGGTGAGACAAAGGAAGTCTAGTATCTACTTCTATGTAAACCTAAATTTGTGAAGTTTGCTTTTAGATTGCTGTTTGGTAATTTTCATCACTAAAATGAAATGTCTGCTTCCTCTGTTGAGAAAGATAGCAGACTTCCTAAATGATGATAAATGACAAGAAAAAGAAGCCGAACTAAAATACATATACAATTGAGTGCTTTGGAAAATGACCTTGCTTCCTTTGATTTTGATGAACTTAATATAACCAACCCTCTAAGAATGTAATTCTAAAGTCTTAGGCAAAAAGTAAGCTGAAAAATTCAAAAGCCGTAGCCTTAGCCTTTCTCATGTGGCCCCTCCTTCCCTTTTTTTCTGCTTGTTTCTTTTTCTTTCTTTCTTTTTTTTTTTTTTTTTTTTTTTTTTTTTTTTTTTTTTTTTTTTTTTGTCGCTGTTGCTGCTTTGCTGCAGGCGAGTGATTCTGATCTTGTTCTTCTGGCCAGCCTCCCGCTCTCTCTCCTTGACTCTGGCTTGTGCTGGTGGATATCCTTTTCCTACCACAGCAGTGCTTCTCACTTCAAGATCAGGAGGCCTATTTGCTTTCATGACTACTTTCCTTCTATGACAGGAATGATTTAAACTTTACCTAAATTTAACAATGTCTTGGTAAGTGAAAGCTTAAGCAGTTTAGAATTTGCTTTTGATCTTTTTATTTCTTAGCTTAAAAACATTTTTTAAAAATTATTAAGCCAGGCCAGATTTTTTTTTATAGAAAAAAAATAGAAAATTCGTTTTTATAGAAAATTGGTTTTAGTCAAGAATTTTAAAAAGTATATGTTTTGATGTATTTAAGGAATAAAGTATATTTGCATTTTTAAAGTTCTGATAGTAACCTGAATAAGTTGGATTGTGTTACTTTAGAAATTGATCCCCTTTTGTGAACTCGTTGGTCACTTAGAAAGATTAAAAAGTAAATCCCAGCACTTTGGGAGGCCGAGGCGGGTGGATCACGAGGTCACGAGATCGAGACCATCCTGGTCAACATGGAGAAACCCCGTCTCTACTAAAAATACAAAAACATTAGCTGGGCATGGTGGCGCGTGCCTGTAATCCCAGCTACTGAGGAGGTTGAGGCAGGAGAATTGCCTGAACCCAGGAGGTGGAGGTTGCGGTGAGTTGAGACTGTGCCATTGCACTCCAGCCTGGGTAACAAGAGCAAAACTCTGTCAAAAAAAAAAAAAAAAGAAAGATCAAAAAGTAGTTTTGTACAAAAGTAGCTTTAGTACTAAAACATTTGATTAATGGCATATTTATAACTTTTAAAACTTGCCACTTTCGGCCGGGTGCGGTGGCTCACGCCTATAATCCCAGCACTTTGGGAGGCCGAGGCGAGTGGATCACGAGGTCAAGAGATCGAGACCATCCTGGTCAACATGGTGAAACCTTGTCTCTACTAAAAATACAAAAAATTAGCTGGGCATGGTGGCACGTGCCTGTAATCCCAGCTACTCAGGAGGCTGAGGCAGGAGAATTGCCTGAACCCAGGAGGCGGAGGTTGCGGTGAGCCGAGATCGTGCCATTGCACTCCAGCCTGGGTAACAAGAGCGAAACTCTGTCTTAAAAAAAAAAAAAAAAAAAAAAAAACAACTTGCCACTTCCATTGTGTTGCTCAATTCTGTTATTTTTAGTGTTTGGTTCATAAACAAAGCTTGTTGGTCTGCTCCAGAGGAAGGAATTCTCATTTAAGAGCAGAGAGAGCTGGCTTGAATTCTGCTTCACTGCCGAGGAGTCAATGGAAAAGTCTCTTTTTGCTTCTTTATCCTTGGCAATGTTGAACTTTACCTGAGCCCTGTGCTCCTGGAAAACAGCCAAGATTAAGACACCCCCATCCAAACCCTCTCCCCTATTTGTGTTCTGAGAAAAGACTTACCGCAGAGAAGCCCCTTCCCCATTGGACTTAGATAAGACGCCTGGAGGCCCCCTTGTCTACCTGTGACAAGGCCAGGCACAGACCCTCCGATTTCCCATTCCTTGCATCATGAATGATTAGATGAACTCTTTATACCACTAATCGATCTGAACAAAACACTGACTGAACCAAACTGTAAGTCTTCTCCTTCCTCCACGCCATAAACGTTGACTCACCTTCAGCCTGAGGCAACACACGGCCCTCCTTAGGGGCCCTCCTGAGAATCTGCACATCTCAAGAAAAGACATTCCCTCATCAGTGTGTCTGGTCCTACCACTCACTCCCCATACCTGCTGCCTTCTTGCCTTTTTTGCTGCTCTCTGTAAAAGAAAAACTCTTTTCTGCCTCACGTTTGAGACTCTTGCAGATCTTATAGTCGTAGTATTCTTCCTACTGCAATAATCCTCCCCCATTACAGTCATCTTTCAAATAAAGTCCTTAACTAAATCCAGATTTGTTTTCTCTGACGTATTTCAGTGTTTTAATTTATAAAATGGAATTGGTAGATGACCTAACTTCTTAATTATGGTTATTCAAAGAATAAAATGAAAATAGACTAGAAAGAACAAAATAAGAAAAAGAGCCAGAAAAGCACAAGCCAAATGGCATGTCAAAATGGGATCTGTACAGCCTGGACAACAGAGCAAGACTCCATCTCAAAAAAAAAAAAAAAACTGGAAGCAGTGGCGAGTGTCTCATTCGGAGGGGTTTTAGTGCATGCACTGCTCTATCCCATGTTAAGGGAGCATGGCATTGGTAGAACGTGTCATGGGTCTTCCGTGTTTTTTCCTTGGAATTTGTTTCCTTAGTTCAGACAATAGTAAATTGTGTAAGAAAATTTGTGGTAAAGTATCATGATTGTACAGTATTGGCTGAGATAACATTTTCTGTGTTTTTATTAGCTTCAAATTTTAGGGACTGTATTTAGTAGTACTGACTTGGGAAACATAGTAGAAGATTCTTTTTTTTTTTTTTTAACCACTTATTATTACTTGAAATGTTTTTCCTTAACTTTTTTCACATTTTTATAAGTTTGGCACAAACTATGAAGACTCTAAGGCTAAGAAAGAACACTGTGAAATTTTCATTATATAGACACTTTACAAATACTCTGATCTTTGCCGTGCTGGGTAAGCTATTTAATTTTTCTTATAATAAATTATCTTGGTATTGTTATGTTCCTTCAAAGGTGACTTTTTGTGTGTGTTGCAGCTTCTGTAGTATTTATGGTGTGGACAACTAAGACATTTAGAATTGCAAAATGCCAATCAGTAAGTATAATCTTTTTATTTAAACAGTTGTTATTTTTATTTGTACTATTTTGTAGAATTTTGAAGAATTTAGTTTATGCTTGTAAACAGAGGTGATTAGTGGAGATTTTCTTTCTACTTTGAACTATTTTTTACAGAGTTACAAAAAATTTTAACTCCTCCAAGTGAGTTTGAAAAAGTTCCTCCTAAATCTCCTTTTCCTATTATGCCTTTTCTCAAGTTCCTTTTATATATATTGAAAACAAATTATCTTCCTATATACTCTAACAGGAAATTCTCTTCTTCCTGCACACCATGAAATTGAGTGGTTTTGTACGTAGATGGGACTTAAAATCTTAAGACTGCCCTGTTTCTAGGATCATGTGTTCAGTATGGGTATTCAAGAGATGTTTTCCACGGATTTTCATGTTGGAAGAAGATATATTTCTTAGAATATAAAAGGTCCTCTTAAGATTTGGAGCTAGTCTCTAGTGCTGTAAAAATAATCACAAAAAGCCCTCTGAAAATCCAGGCTTTTGCTGCCTTAGAGACAATTTAATGAAAGAAGAGGCTGGACCTTCTGAAATTTCTTTTTTCTCCTTCCCTTACCTTAGTATTTGCCACTTGAAATCCTAAGTATATGTTTTGCATTTTTTGTTTTTGAGATCTTTCTATTAACCCAAAAATTTTATGGCAGGGAATATTTTTAACATTAAACAGCCCTTTAGAAACATTTTGAACAATATAGGTTTCTTGAAAAAATACGTGCTTGTTTGTTTTGAAGGCTTTGTTTGTTTTGAAGGCTTATAGGTTTCTTGAAAAAATAAGTGCTTGTTTGTTTTGAAGGCATACTTGTTGGAAAGATTTCATTAGTACTTGTCATTGTACACTATTTGAATGGGAAACCTGTATAGTTATCAGAAAATTAACTTTTCATGTTTGAATTGTCCTTATTTTAGGATTGGATGGAACGTTGGGTTGACGATGCATTTTGGAGCTTCCTTTTTTCACTTATCCTTATTGTAATCATGTTTTTGTGGAGACCATCAGCAAACAATCAGAGGTACCTAACATAGGAAATTTCAAGTCGGCAAGCATTTGTCAATCACCTTCTATAGTGTCAAGAACACGTTATAGAAACCAGTGGAGTAGTCCTTGCTTTTAAGAACTATATAGTCAAGCAGGGAGATAAGCAAAACAAATGCAAGACAGTGAAAAAAGATGTATAGACTAGTCTGGGGTAAGTTGGAAGAGGGATGAGGAAGACTTTTTGAAAAGGCAGCGCTTTTATTACACCATGGAGAAAGGAATAGGACAAGAAATGACTGAACTAGGAAAGAATGTCCATTTTCTGGGGTGGTGGGAAAGGCATGAGATACTTTGGAGACCAGTGAGACATGCAGTTTGGTTAATACCACGTACTCATACTGGAGAGAGATCAAGTTGGAAGGGAGAGGTGCAGCCAAAATGGCAAAAGACTTCAGTGTCAAGTTGAGAAAGTTGCACTTAAGACTGCATGTCCCAGCTGGGCGCGGTGGCTCACGCTTGTAATCCCAGCACTTTGGGAGGCCGAGGCGGGTGGATCACAAGGTCAAGAGATCGAGACCATCCTGGTTAATATGGTGAAACCCCGTCTCTACTAAAACTACAAAACATTAGCTGGGCATGGTGGTGCATGCCTGTAATCCCAGATACTCAGGAGGCTGAGGCAGGAGAATTGCTTGAACCTAGGAGGCGGAGGTTGCAGTGAGCCGAGATCGCGCCATTGCACTCCAGCCTGGGTAACAAGAGCGAAACTCCATCTCCAAAAAAAAAAAAGACTGCATGTGGTGGGAAGACTTACCTTCCTTGCTTTATCCCTCTGCCCCAAGGAAAGAACTTAAGTTCTTGTCCATTCTTGAGGAGAAAATGAAAAAATTATGTACAGATTGAATATCCCAAATCCAGAATGCTCCAAAATCCAAAACTTTTTGAGCACTGACAAGACACTTGACAGAAGTGCTCGTTGGAACATTTTGAATTTCAGATTTTCAGATTTGGGATGCTCAGCTGGTAAATATAATGCAAATATTCCAAAATCTAAAAACATCCAAAACTCTAAACACTTCTGGTCTCAAGCATTTTGCATAAAGGCTACTCAACCTGTATCGGCATGTATGTTTCTCCCGTCCTTTTTAAAATTATATAATAATATATATACATACTTACATGTACCTGCTGTTCTGTACCTTCCTGTTTAAAATATATCTTTCTGGCCAGGTGCAGTGGCTTATGCCTATAATCCCAGCACTTTGGGTGGCCAAATGGGTGAATCACTTGAGCCCAGGAATTGAAGACCAGCCTGGGAAACAAGGCGAAACCCCGTCTCTACAAAAAAATGCAAATATTAGCTGGGTGCAGTGATGTGTGCCTGTACTCCCAGCTACTTGGGAGCTGAAGTGGGAGGATGACTTGAGCCTAGGAGGTGGAGGTTGCAGTGAACTGAGATCATGCCACTGCTACTATACTCCAGCTTGGACAACAGAACCAGACCCATCTCAAAAAAACAAAAGTATCTTCCCATATCAGCGTATATAGATCTATCACATTACTTTTAATGGCTATATGGCATTTCATAACATGAATGTAAATGTAACATAATATATATAAGCAGTCCCTGGTATTATTTTGTTTAAAAAATAGATTTTTGCTATTATCAATCATGTTTTTAGAATGCTGTTGGACATCATTTTGGCAAACTTTTGTTAGTATAATGTAAGGTAAATGAATTTTACTTTGATGGCTATTGCCAGATGACCCTCCAAAAAGGTTGTTTTGATTCACACTTTATCAGCAGTATTTTGATCTTATCACCTAGGAAATGTGGCCCAATCAATGGGCCTTATTTTCACCAATCAGATTGGCAACTTTTCTTTTTTTTTTTTTGAGGTGGAGTTTCACTGTTGTTGCCCAGACTGGAGTGCAATGGCACTATCTCAGCTCACCGCAACCTCCGCCTCCTGGGTTCAAGCAATTCTGCCTCAGCCTCCCAAGTAGCTGGGACTACAGGCACGCACCATCATGCCCAGCTCATTTTTGCTTTTAGTAGAGACGAGGTTTCACCTTGTTGACCAGGATGGTCTTGATCTCTTGACCTGGTGATCCACCCGCCTCGGCCTCCCAAAGTGCTGGGATTATAGGCATGAGCCACCGCGCCCAGGCAACTTTTCTTTTTTTAGGGAATAAACTGACAAGTGGTAGGCAGAGAGGTAAGCCTGACATGGAGAAAGAAAGAGCAGAAAGTTCCCTTCCCTCAACATTAAATATTGCTAAATTGCTTGGCAGAATGATTTTATCCACTTACGCTTTTACAAGTGGTTTGAGAGCTCTAGTTTCACAATTTCTTCATGATAATTCTAGCTAATTTGAAAGTAAAATAATTATGTTTTCATTATTTTAAAGTATAAGAAATGTTTTAAATGTAGATTTCTCATACGATGGTTTTTAGATATAAACTGAAAATTGAACAAGCTTAAACATACTAGTAAAACTACTACTCATTTTTGCTATAGATATGCCTTCATGCCCTTAATAGATGATTCTGATGATGAAATTGAGGAATTCATGGTAACTCCTGAAAATTTAAGTGAGTAATATGTTTTCTTTTTAAACGCCTGCTGTACATATTGGAACAGAAATGCTGTACCTTTACCCAAGGTCACATACATTGTTTTTTTCCTATAAAATATTTTTAAAAGTTTATCTTCAGAAACCCTATTTTGGTAGACAATAACAAAAAGAAAAGTCAATGATGACATTTTCAAGACTATTAATGTAGTTTGAGCTTTTGCTACTCATTTGAGCTTGTTAACTCATTTCGTAAAATGGTGAAATAGTTACACTGGTTTTCATAAGAGTGGTTTGGTGTTTATTGTGCTTAGCTGCTAAATAATGTTCATCTTGATGATTGTTGAGTTTCTTTGAGTTGTATCTTCTTGCTCTTTTTAAAGTATGTACATCTGTAATTTCTGGTCATGCCCAAAGCATTTCTACTTACGGTTTTAATGGTATTTTCATTCTTTCTATTAATTGCTACATAGCATTTTGTTATTTTATTATTTTTATTATAATCTAAGCATCTGTTAAGGCAATATCAATAAGTAACTCAGATGTTGAGGGTAATTTTATCTTTGTTTCTTTTTTTGTCTTCTTTGGCTTTTTTTAGTAACATTCTTTTTCACTTTTTATTTTGGTTCTCTAATACATCAATCAAATAGAAAACAGGAAAATAAATAGAAAAAGTCATCAAATCTAAAAGTAATTACTTTGAAAAGATTAGTGAAAAATGGTTTAACCCCTAGCTAGTCTAAACCAGAAATAAAAAGAAACTAGTGAACCCTTGAATAATGTGGGGTTAGGGGTGCCAATCTCCTGAGTAGTTGAAAATCTCCTTATAACTTTTGACTCTCCCAAAATTTAACTACTGATAGCCAACTGTTGACCAGAAGCCTTACTGTTAACATAGTTATCACATATTTTGTATGTTATGTGTATTTTGTACTGTATTCCTACAATAAAGTAGGTAGAGCAAAGAAAATGTTATTAGGTAGAAGGAAAGGAGAGTCAGGAAAGGCACACATATATGGTGTAATTTTTATTGAAAAAAACTCACATGTAGGTGGACCCGAGCAATTCAAACCCATGTTGTTCAAGGGTCAACTGTAGTACAGTAAGACAAACTTCTAATGTTGGAAATGATAGAGAGGACATTACTACAGTAAAAAAGGTAAATAAGGGAATATTGTGAACAACTTTATGGTAGTAAATTGGGCAATCTGGATGAGACAGACAAATTCCTTGAAAAATACACGTAACAACCCAATCTCTTTTTTTTTTTTTTTTTTTTTTTGAGACGGAGTTTCGCTCTTGTTACCCAGGCTGGAGTGCAATGGCGCGATATCGGCTCACCGCAACCTCCGCCTCCTGGGTTCAGGCAATTCTCCTGCCTCAACCTCCTGAGTAGCTGGGATTACAGGCACGCGCCACCATGCCCAGCTAATTTTTTGTACTTTTAGTAGAGACGGGGTTTCACCATGTTGACCAGGATGGTCTCGATCTCTTGACCTCGTGATCCACCCGCCTCGGCCTCCCAAAGTGCTGGGATTACAGGCTTGAGCCACCGCGTCCGGCCAACAACCCAATCTTAATTCTAACCCTGTGCCACTAAGTCTGAGTAGCTCTGGTCTATTAAAGAAATTAAAAAAAATTTTTTTTTAATTTAAAATCTTCATATAAAGTAACAGGCTCAAATGGATTCACTAGTGAGTTCTTCCAAATACTTAAGGAAGAAATATTCTAATTTTACCAAAATCTTTAGAATATAAAGCAGGCGGGAGTAATTTTAAAGCCAGTGTAACTGAAATGCCAAAGTCTAACAGACATTACAAGAAAAAATTATAGACCAATATCATTAATGAGTGGACACATAAAAGTTATTTAAAGATATTAGCAAATAAAATCTAGCAAAATGTAGAAAGACAGCCATGATCAAGTGGACTTTATCCCAGGGTTGCAAGACTGTTTTAACATTCCAAAAATTACTCAATATAATTCATCATATTAAAATAGTACATATAAGGCTGGGTGTGGTGGCTCATGCCTATAATTCCAGCATTTTGGGAGCCCAGGGCAGGCACATCACCTGAGGTCAGGAGTTCAAGACCAGCCTGGCCAACATGGCAAAACCCTGTCTCTACTAAAAATACAAAAATTATCTGGGTGTGGCAGTGTGTGCCTGTAATCCCAGCTCCTCAGAAGGCTGAGACAGGAAAATCACTTGAACCCAGGAAGCAGAGGGAGGTTGCAGTGAGCCAAGCCACTGTACTACAGCCTGGGTGACAGAGCAAGACTCTGTCTCAACAAAGAAATACAAATAAAATAGTACAAATAAAAGAAGAATGAAGAAAAAAATGATGTAAGTATCTCAGTGGATGCAAATAACAAAAGCCTCAACAAACTAATTCTAAAATGGCATGAAAACACTCTACAGGTAAAATTCTATTTAGTGGTGAACACTTTCTTCTCAAGATTAGGAATCAAGTGCAAGGATATCTACACATCACTTTGATTCTGCATTGTATGGGAGGTCCTATTCAATGCAGAGAGGCACAACAAACAAAACTCCAACAAATGTAACAGAAGGAGCATGTGGAAAGGAAAAAATAAAACTATGTTTATTCTCAGGCAACAAGATTATATGTGGAAAATCCCAAGGAGTCTACAGAAAAGAAAAAGTACAGTAGAACTAATAAGTGACTGTGACAGTCATAGGGTATAGGTTCAATATACAGAAATCAGTTGTTTTTGTACATATTAACTGAAAACAGTTGAAGGTAAAGTTTAAAATGGTTATTTACCATACCTTCAAAAATAAACTATTCAGAATAAGTTTAATGAAAAATGTGCAAAACCTCTGCAATGAAGACTATAAAACAATGTGAAGATAAATTTTAGAATAAGTAAATGTAGAGATAGAACATGTGTCTGAATTGGAACTCTCAATATTAAGCTGTCAGTTTCCCAATCTGATAAGTAGATTCAGTGCAATCACAATTATAATTCTAGGTGATTTAAAAATATATATATAATGGTTAAGTTGATTCTAAAATATATACGGAAAAGCAAAAGACCTAGAAGATCCTTAACATTCTTGTAGTTACAACATGAGTGAACCTTGAAAACATTATGTTAAGTGAAAGAAGCCAATCACAAAAGACCACATACTGTATAATTTTATTGATATGAAAGGTCCAGGCTGGGCACAGTGGCTAATGCCTGTAATCCCAGCACTTTGGGAGGCCAAGGAGGGCAGATCACCTGAGGTCAGGAGTTTGAGACCAGCCTGGCCAACATGGCAAAACCCCATCTCTACTAAAAGTACAAAAATTAGCTGGGCATGGTGATGGATGCCTATAATCCCAGCTACTCAGGAGGCTGAGGCAGGGAAATCACTTGAACCCGGGAGGCGGAGGTTGCAGTGAGCCGAGATTATGCCACTGCACTCAAGCTTGCTCAACAAGAGCAAGACTACGTCTCAAAAAAAAAAGGAGAGAAAGAAAGAAAGGTCCAGAATAGGCAAGTGTATAGAGGCAGAAAGTAGATCCGTGGTTGTCAGAGGTTAGAGGAGGGGGAAAGTAGGGAGTGACTGCTAATAGGTTTGGGATTTCTTTGCGGGGTGATGAAATTTTCCAAAATTGGATAGTCGTGATGATTGTACAACTCTGTGAATATCTCAGAGTCTACTAACTGTACTTCAGTATGGTATGTTAATTATATCTCAATAAAATAAAATCAATGAATGGATACTGATTTTAAGACATAGTGATTTCAGATTACAGCAATCCAGACAGTGTGGTATTGGCATAAGGATAGAGAAATCCATCAAGGTAGTAGAACAGAGTCCAGGAATAAACCCATGCATGTGTGGTCAGTTGATTTTTGACTAAGTCACCAAGGCTTACATGAGGAAAGGATAGTCTTTTTAGTAAATGGTACTGGAACAACTGGATAAATGTGTAGAAAAAAAAAATCACCTAGACTTTTGCTGCACATCTCACAATCATTAATTCAAGATGGATCACAGACCTAAATGGAAAAGCTTCAACTGTTACTCTTCTAGAAGAAAACAGGAAAATATTTTAATGATATTGGATGGGCTAATTTCCTAGGACACAAAAAGCAGTAACCATTAAATTAAAAAATGAGACTTTATCAAAATTAAAAATCTATGCTCATCAAGAAGAATTTAAGAAAATAAGGCTAGCTGTAGCAGGATAGTCTCAATACATATATATCTGACAAAGGTCTTATATACCAGAATATAAGTAGAATTCTTGTAAATCAATAAATGATAACCCATGTAGCAAAAAATGAACAGAAGGCTTGTGTAGACACTTCAAGGAACACATAGGAATGGCCAATGAACCCATTGAAAGGTGCTCGATATAATCGGTCATCAGGAAAATGCAAATTAAGACCATAATGCAAAGAGCTACCACACATCTGCTTACAGTGGTTAAAATTAAAAAGTCTGATAGTATGAACTATTGGAGAAGATGTGGAACAGCTGGCTCTCTCATACAGTACTTGAAGGAATGTAAAGTAGCATGACCTCTTTAGAAACCAATGTGACAGCTTCTTACAAAGTTAAGCATATACTTACCTTACAGTCCAGCTCTTCCACTCTAAGGTTTTTACCCAGAAAAATGAAGCAGATGTCTACAGAAAGACAATAATGTTTATAGCAGCTTTATTCTTAATAGTCCAAAACTGGAAATAACACAATTATCTACGAACAGGTGAAAAGATAAAGAAATTGTGGTATATCCATACAATGGAATACTTTGCAGTAATAAAAAGTAACCAACACTCTATAACATGACTAAATCTCAAAATTGTTTATATTGCATGAAAGTAGCCAAAGCCAAAAGTATGTAGACTGTCTATACTGTGGTTCTATAAATGAAGTTCTTTAACAGGCAAAACAAACTATAATGATTATCTAAATCAGAGCAGTGGTTGCTTTTGGTGCGGTGGGGATGGACTGGAAAGGAACTTAAAGAACCTTTTGCGATAATGGAAATGTTAACTGTATTAATTGGCATGGCAGTTACTCAAGTGTATATATTTGTCAGGTTTCTTCAACTATACACCTGAAATTTGTATATGTTTTATATATTTATATGTGTATATATACACACACACACACACACACACACACTTCAGTGTTTAAAGATTACTGTATTCCCCATCTAAGATAAATGTTGGGGTTTCAAATATCCCAGGAAAACATTTTTTGATTAAGGAACCTCATCTTCATTTTATTACATCAGCTTATGTTATAATTATCCTAGTTTATGGAGAAGCAATATTTGCAAATTAGTGTAATAACAAAAGTGACTACTTACTGGGCATAGATTGTGTGTCAGGCATTTAATATGTGCTAATTTGTTCAGTGGTTACCAGAACTCTATGAAGTAGATGCTATTATTATACCCAGTTTATAGTCAGAAACACTAAGTCAAAGGAAGTTAATTGCTTTCCCCAAGATTCCAGTGAGGCAGTCTACTTCCAGGACACAGGCACTTAGCCTTTGCTTTACTGAAACTGCGAACATACAGAAGATCCTTGGTCAAATATGAAAGAAATCTTGATCTTTCCTATTGTCTTTGTGTCTTATGCACATTTCAAAATTTGTGCATCAGGGATGTAAAGCATACCCAAAGATGTGTTTTGTTCTTGAATATACCATGAATTCTGAAGATTTTTAAGTCCATAAACTTTAAAATAATTACAGTTAAGGAAATATGTGTGCATGTTTACTTTTAGAGGAGTTTGTTTAAACTCCTCTAAAACTAGGATTCAAACAAGAACTTGAAAATCCTGGTGGTTCTGACAAACAGTTGTCAAAAATCTGTGAACTTTTTTCATTTATCTTTTCTACATTTCCAAATGGTAAGTTCTGCATCTGCCTAAAGTTTCCACTATTAACCTTCCATTTAAAAAAAAGGTAATTTTTTTCTTATTAGGTTATTAAATTTCTAAAGGAAAATATTATTTTATGATTTTATATATATGTTTATGTCTCTTGTAGCCGAAGGAATAAAATTAAGAGCCTCAAAATCAGTTTCCAATGGAGCAGTTAAGCCTGCCACTTCTGATAACTTTGTGAGTATAGTATATATTTAGTACAATCTTAGTCTTCACTACTTTAGAGAGCTGTATGAGTGTCATATTCGTCGACTCTCAGAAGAACAGTTTTTACTAAGGTTTTTGTTATTATAAAAATTAGTGTTGCTAAGTAGCAATCCTGGTTGTCCATAACTGAAATATCTTCGTTGTACATCTCATTTCTCACCTGCTGTTCCTAGGCCAGCAGCATGAGCATCATCTGGGAACTTATTAGAGATGCAGAGTCTCGGGCCTACCCCAGGTGCTCCTGAATCGGAATCTGCTTTTCAAAAAGATTCCATAGGTTGTTTATCTGCATATTCAAGATTGGAAAGCTTTGTTCCAATAAAAGCTTGTGTTAACTTTTCAGCATATGAATGTGATTTTTGAAGCCATTTTAAATAACATTTGTTACCTGTTGGTAAAGAACTGTATGTGTTACCTACACAGTTACCAAAATTAACAGATTTTTTTTGAAGTGGGAAGCTTGAATAAAATTGTAAAACATTGGGCAGAGATAAGCTAAATAATATTTTCTGCATAAAAATGTTTTTGAAGGCGATGATATAAAATGGAAATGTCTATCATACACTTTTGTACTTTCTTACAACTATATGTGCTGTGATTAATACTATGTAAAAATGTATGTATGCCTATGTGAGTTCTGACAGGATAGATATGTGAAAATATGTTTTATCTGTTCAATTTGGCAAATTCTCTAATTTTTATTTTTGATGATATAATTTTTTTTTTTTTTTTTTTTCTGAGACGGAATTTTGCTCTTGTTACCCAGGCTGGAGTGTAATGGCGCGATCTCGGCTCACCGCAACCTCCGCCTCCTGGGTTCAGGCAACTCTCCTGCCTCAACCTCCTGAGTAGCTGGGATTACAGGCGTGCGCCACCATGCCCAGATGATGTTTTGTATTTTTAGTAGAGACGGGGTTTCACCGTGTTGACCAGGATGGTGTCGATCTCTTGACCTTGTGATCCACCCTCCTCGGCCTCCCAAAGTGCTGGGTTTACAGGCTTGAGCCACCGTGCCCGGCTTATGATATAATTTTTAAAAGTCTGTTATTTGTGTAGTTTTATAGTAATTTAAATTCTTAAAAATTATAATACTTTCAATTATTTAGTGTTAGATCTGTTATACCTTCAATTTGTTAAGTGTTTTTCTTTTATTCTATGTATATATGTGAGTTTATTTTAAAGCTTAGTATTTTCAAACATGTCAAGGGAATACTTTTTCATTTCTCTAAAGTAAGTATAATTAGCTCTTAAGCATAAGCTGGGGGCCTTGTATCTCACTGACTTATTTCTACCTAAGACCCACTCAGAGAATGGGAGTTCCTGTTAATGCTGGCTCAGTTGCTTGTTTCTCTCTAGATTAGCAAAATGTAATTAATACTAGAACCAGACCATTCCATGTATCCGTGTACATAATAAAGGTTTATTTATATTATCAACCAAAACATTCAGTATACCTTTTATTTTCTTTCCCTAGTGAAATAACTATAAGCAAGTTTTCTGTTAAAAATAGATAAGAGGGCCTGGCATGGTGGCTCACGCCTGTAATCCAAGCACTTTGGAGGCCAAGGCAGGCGGATCACCTGAGGTCGGGAGTTCAAGACCAGCCTGACCAACATGGTGAAACCCCATCTTAAAAATAAATAAATAGGCCGGGCGCGGTGGCTCAAGCCTGTAATCCCAGCACTGTGGGAGGCCAAGGCAGGTGGATCACGAGGTCAAGAGATCGAGACCATCCTGGTCAACATGGTGAAACCCCGTCTCTACTAAAAATACGAAAAATTAGCTGGGCATGGTGGTGCGTGCCTGTAATCCCAGCGACTCAGGAGGCTGGGGCAGGAGAATTGCCGGAACCCGGGAGGCGGAGGTTGCGGTGAGCCAAGATCGCGCCATTGCACTCCAGCCTGGGTAACGAGAGCGAAACTCCTCTCAAAATAAATAAATAAATAAATAAATAAATAAATAAATAAATAAATAAAATAACTTTAAAAAAAATAGATAAGAGGTTAAATAGATTAGATAGATAAGATATATGGATAGATAGATAAGATAGATTAGGCAGAGGATAGTTAAACAGAATAGATAAAATAGGTTGGAGGGGTGGATAGATTGGATAGATGGATAGATGGATGGATGGATAGATAGATAGATAGATAGGTAAAGACAGATAGACAGATAGATACCTCAGCTGACCTGCTCTACTTTTCTTGCCTCCTATAGGGAGATGAGCATAAATACAAGTGATAAAAATAAATAGTCTTTTCTAAAGTTAGAATATTTGAGGTCAGGCACAGTGGCTCATGCCTGTAATCCCAGCACTTTGGGAGGCTGAGCCAGTGGATCACTTGAGCTCAGGAGTTTGAGACCAGCCTGGACAACATGGTGAAACTCTGTTTCTACTAAAAATACAAAAATTAGCTGGGTGTGGTGGTGTGTGCCTGTAATTCCAGCTACTCAGGAGGCTGAGGCAGAACCTGGGAGGCAGAGGTTGCAGTGAGCCAAGATTGCACCACTGCACTCCAGCCTGGGCAACAGAGTCAGACTCTGTCTCAAAAAGAAAGAAAGAAAAAGAAAAAAGAATATTTGTATTATCTTAAAAAAAAAAAGTTATCAACTCACATATAAGAACTTGAACAAATTAGGAAGCATAATGAGTGTGGCATAGCAAAAATTCAATATCCTTGCTATTTTCTATCTTAGGAATGAACTTTATGTTTTTACTGTGATTTCTCAGGACAAAAAAGTAACACTTCATGCATCTAACTAAAACCAAGAAGAAGTGTAAAAATCTGAAATCCAATTTTTGTTTGCGTGTGTAAGAAAACACTGGCATAATTTCTGTATGGCATGAGTGCCAACTTCTTAGGACATATGTAGAAACTAAAAGAATGTCAAGTATTTTCATTTAAACACTCAAATTTTACATACATTCTGTTTAAAAAATTCTGCTGTCAGGTGATATTAAGCAAATGCTAAATATAAATATTTCTACAGGATGAAGATTTGAAGTGGGTGGAAGAAAATATTCCCTCTTCATTCACGGATGTGTAAGTATCTTCTGTTACAGTTTGATTATAAATTTTAGGCTTTAGTTTAAAAGGGATCATTCTCATCCTTCGTTATGTGCTTTTCAAACCTCACACTTCGTATTCTCGGGTAAGCCCCTATCACCAGTAAATGGCCCTTACAGAACTACAAAGAAAAACCCTGGCTTGTTTCATTTTTCACTGTACAGCAACCATTTAAAACTAGTGTCCTGCCTAGGCGCAGTGGCTCACACCCAGCACTTTGGGAGGCCGAGGCGGGTGGATCATGAGGTCAAGAGATCGAGACCATCCTGGCCAACATGGTGAAACCCCGTCTCTACTAAAAATACAAAAATTAGCTGGGCGTGATGGTATGTGCCTGTAGTCCCAGCTACTTGGGAGGCTGAGGCAGGAGAATCGCTTGAACCTGGAAGGTGGAGATTGTAGTGAGCTGAGATCACACCACTGAACTCCAGCCTGGCGACAGAACAAGACTCCGTCTCCAAAAAAAAAAACAACAAAAACTAGTGGCCTATAACCAACTCCAGCTTTTTCTGATCTGCAGTTATCATGATCATTTCATTTTTTTCTTTCTTTCTTTCTTCTTCTTCTTCTTCTTTTTTTTTTTTTGTAGAGATGGGGTTTCACCATGTTTGTCAGGTTGGTCTCAATCTCCTGACCTCGTGATCTGCATGCCTTGGCCTCCCAAACTGCTAGGATTACAGGCATGAGCCACTGTGCCTGGCCTTCATTTTTTTTTTCTATCACAGAAAACATCAAACATACGTAAACTTTCTCTTTAAAGGTAACCACAGCACCATGTATTGTGGGGATGGTTTTGAAGGAAAAACATGAGCATAGGAATCTTCTCTGGTAACTTTGAGCTATTCAGGATCCTCTTTATCTATGTCCTGTTTGAGACACGAATTCCAGATAATTGTTTCCATAGTGAAGAAATAGAATAGCCAAGTATGATAACATTTTCACATATTGGTCTTTCCCTTCCTGGCCTCCATCTGGTTTCTGTTTAGATAGTTTCTGTGTAGTATGATACTCCTTTTGCCTGAATAATTTCCTTTACCTTTCTAATTCTTATAGTATAGGTATGATGGTAGTAAATCTGTCAGATTTTTATTTGTTTGAAAAAGTCTTTGTTTCACCTTTATTGAAGATAATTTTTGTGAGAATACAATTCTTTGTTGACTTTTTTTTTTCTTTCAACACTTAAAGGGTTGGTCACTTGAATGTCTTCTGGCTTTCATAGTTTCAAAAAGATGTCTGCCTTAGTTCTTATCTTATTCCTCCACATGTTATATGGATTTTGTTTGTGTGGGTTGGAGTTTTTTTGGGGAGGTGGGGGAATTGGCTGCCTTCAGGATTTTCTCTTCATCTTTAGTTTTCATCATTATGAATATGATGATTCTAGGTATGTGTGGGCATATATTTTCATTTCTCTTGGTTGTATACCTAAAGTGGAATTGCTAGATCATATGGTAACTCCAACACTTTGAGGAAGTGCCAAGCTGTTTTCCAAAGAAGCTGTATTATTTTATAATCCTATCAGCAATATATGAGGGTTCCAACTTCTCCACATTTTTTGTTAACACTTGTTATTGTCCACCTTTTTGATTTTAGCTCTTAGTGACTATGAAGTGTTATGTCATCGTACTTATGAGTAACTGAAATTCAAAGTGTCTTGTTGGGGGAACTGGTGTTATTTAAACTGTGGTAACTGAAATTCATGTATAAATAGTCTATGCAAAGTAAGAACTGCCTATTCATTATGAAACTTACAATACACTATTATACTTTTAGCAGTCAGAAAAGGAAAATATGGATGTATTTTTTTTTATATTTACCCATATATTTACTGTTTCTATTTTCTTTCCTTTATATATGAGCTGAGGTCTTTCTTTAGTATTTCTTATACTAAAAGGATAGTATAGGTATAAAAGGATAGGCCTGCTAACAACAAGTTCTCTCAATTTTATTTATATGAAAATGTATTTACTTTGCCTTCCTTTTTTTTTTTGAGATGGAATCTTGCTCCCGTCTCATAGGCTGGAGTGCAGTGGCGCAGTCTCAGATCACTGCAACGTCTACCTCCTGGGTTTAAGCACTTCTCCTTCCTCAGCCTCCCAAGTGGCTGGGATTACAGACATGCACCACCACACCCAGCTAATTTTTATATTTTTAGTAGAGACGGGGTTTCGCCATGTTGGCTAGGCTGGTCTTGAACTCCTGATCTCAGGTGATCCACCTGCCTCGGCCTCCCAAAGTGCTAGGATTACAGGCATGAGCCACAGCACCTGGCCATTTGCCTTCCTTTTTAAAGGATAGTTTTGCTGGATAAAAAATCTTGATTGACTTTTGTTTGAACACTTCCAACACGTCATTTTAATATCTTCTGGCTTTTATTGTTTTTGAGGAGAAAATAGTCATTAATTGTATTGTTCTCATGTGTGTGATGTGGCATTTATCTTTTGCTGTTTTTCTGATTTTTCCTTTATATTTGGCCTTCTGCAGTGAGTCTATGATATACCTAGGTCGTCTTTTTGTCTATTCTTTCTGGAATTTGTTGGGCTTCTCAGATCCATGTCCCTTGGTCATTTTCCAGTGCCTTCAGCTACTTTTTAAAACATTTTTTTGAGACAGTCTCTCGCTTTTGTCACCCAGGCTGGAGTACAAGGCAGTGGTGCAATCTTGGCTCACTGCAGCCTCTGCCTCCCAGGTTCCAGCAATTCTCTTGCCTCAGCCTCCCTGGTAGCTGAGATTACAGGCGCATGACACCACACCTGGCTAATTTTGTATTTTTAGTAGAGATGGGGTTTCACCATGTTGGCCAGACTGGCCTCAAACTCCTGACTTCAGGTGATCCACCCACCTAGGCCTCCCAAAGTGCTAGGATTACGGGCATGAGCCACTCTATCTGGCCAGCTACTTATTTTTGATATTTTTGTACAGGTTTTGTCAGTATTTTTTGTGGAAGGAATCATCTGACCTTTTCGGTCCACCTTTTCTTGCTCTCTTCTATCGCAATCACTTTCTGTATGTTCCTTTTTTCCTTCTTTCTTTATTTCATTTTCTTTGTTGTTTTCCTGCCACACATAAGATTTCTTTTGAATTATTCTCCCTTGAGTACCTTGTAATGTTCTCAATCACTGGAATAATTTTTGTCTTTTTCCTTAATTATTTTTCTGAGTATGATTGACTCTGAATTTCTTTGTGCTTTGTTTTTATCTACTTCTGCTCTTGGCTTTTAGATTCCTTATTGTAGAATGTTTTTAATATTGCCAAATGTTCTTTTTAAGTTATTGTATTTAATCTGGAGTATTGTGTGTTATAATTATAGTTTTCTTCTACTGTAAGATATTTTGATTTTCATTTTCCTTCTTTTTCTTTTCCGCAGTATTATATGGAGTTTATTTTGGTTTTCCCATTCTGAGAGATTTTATGAAGGTTCCTGGTTTGAGTGCCTTTTTCCATCAGTGGGCATGAACTGTTTCTTTTATGGATAATGTTGATGGTATGGAGGAGTATGGAGTAGGGGAGGTTGGTGGTGTTTTGTCTGTCTGTTATTTCTGCAGACCTTCCCTCCCCCTTTTTACTGCCTTTTTAAAATGTACTACACTATCACATCTCCAAGGAATATTCCTCTTTTTTATATATGATCCTTTCCTGAAAACAATGATCATTCAAAGCTGCTACTTTTTGTCCCACTCGAATTGAACCCTTTCGATGTAGTAGGTGCTGTGAACCTCCAAGTCACTGGTTTTATACAGTCTGTTGACACTGAGTGTTAGGCTTTTCTGCAGGGATTGATTTTTGTCTATGCTTGTCAGTCTTCCCACCACCCCTCTACTATTTTTCCCCATAGCCTCTCAACCCTCTCTTTTCCTACTCTCTGTACCCGTGAGCTTGCAGTAACAGCAAGGAATCTGTTGGGATTTGACATTTATTTCTCTATTAACATATAATCTCAAGTTTGTGGTGTTTCCTGGTAACGCTGAAGGCATGTGTCTTTTGTGGTTTTGTTTGCAATCCTTAGTAATTTTATGGGTTTTTGAGCAAGAATATATGGAGAGCTTCAAATTAAGTGGCCACCATTATTTTCCAGATTTGGAAACTCATAACTAAGCATTTTAGAAGGAAATTATTTAAGCAGGCTTACCTCCTACTGTGCTACCACTTCTTGGTGGAAACCAGTGAGGCTTCTAGGTAGTTCTCTTTATATGTGAGAAAGGCACTATCCTCTACTGTTTTTTTCTGTAGATAGAAATGTCTTCCTGGTTACAAAAAATCCTTTAAAATATAGAAGATTAAACTGTCTTATTTGATGTCTTCATGAACCATTTATATGAAATGATTAGAGCTGTATAATCCAAGAATAATTTCCAAAATTTCAGGTTTTTAGGAAACTTTGCTTCTCCACTTCTGAAAACTTTAACACAAGAAGTGTAGCCCAACGTTATCCAAAATTAATGTACGATTTACATAGCAAGTTTAGTATTTGGACTTCAAACACAGAGAAAAGCCTTCCCCTTATATAATTGTGGAAATGGAACGGAAATTTTATAAGTCATAGGATATTTTAAACAGATCATGAATAATCATATGATATCATGTATTATGAGATATTGCTATGATATTCACTGTGAATTTCCTCATCTTCGATAACCCATGAAGGTGAGATTAGCATAGCTTATCTCTCTCTTTAATGCACTGAATCATTCCTAATAAGTTTTAAGTAGTCATTGACGTCACAGCAGGGACCGTTGTTGATATTGCTAGTGTTTCCTCTAAACAAGGTGCCAAGCATGCAGCAGATTGTCTTCCGGACCTCTAGGGTTCATCTCTCCCCTAATGCCGTCTTCTCCCCCAGATTTTTTTAATCATATTAATCCAGTCTGCCTTGGCTCCTTTCTCACACTAGTCAGTCTCCTCGCCCTCCTGGCTTCACCACGGACCGCACTGTAGGTGGCATCCTCTGGAGTTGTGCATTGCACTTTCATGGCAAAACTTTGGCACTTGGACTTTTCCTTCAGGCTCTCCTCCCTCAGACCTCTGTCACATTGAGGCTAGATTAAAGTTACTTAACATTTTTATATATTCATCTTTTCTTTTTATATTATCTTTGCGGAGCAAAAGTTCTGTTATATAACTCTCTCTCTGGAAACCTTTGCTGGCAGACATGCAGGCAGTGGTCATAATGACACAGAAGTTAAACAAATGCTGGATTCTGTAAATACCACCTTTCATAATGTGTTTACTCATAAATGGGTTAAGTCCGCAATAAAATTTTTGGATGAACACGTTTGTATAATCCTCACCCAGATCAAAGAATAGAATAATGCTAGTGCCCTGAAAAGCCCATTTCCCATTTCCCTTTCAAATCAAGAATCTGCTTTCCCAAAGGTTCTGCTGTCCTGAAGTCTACAACTGTAGATTACTTGTGTCAGTTTCTAAAATTTTATTCCTCAATAGGTATCCATTTGCTTTGCTGCATACTATTCCATTGTCTGAATAACCCATAATTTACCCATTGGGGTTATTTTCAGTTTACTGCTATTGAGAACAGCACTCCTCCATGTCAGTCTGTGAGCCTGAGTGCTCCCTTCTGTAACTTCTGGCTATCCAGGAGTGAGAATTCATGGGTCATGGCATGTGCCTATATTCAGCTTTTGTGGATACACTTACCTTACTGTGAACAACATTATCACCTTTTTTTTCCTTTTATTTCAGAGCTCTTCCAGTATTAGTGGATTCAGATGAGGTAAAATATATTTTTGCATATTTCCTTGGAGCTGATATTTTCACAAAGTAGAGATGTATTTCAGAAAGAAGTTCTGAAAACTACTTTTTATGATTATTATAAATTGAGTAGACAGAAAGATGCTATGAATTGATTTGTGGGTAAAGTTTAAAGGATTTATGGATAAAGTCCTCATTTCAAACAAGAACAAGATAAATATTTATTGGTATGGAAGAAATGAAGGATTATTTTATGAGATCTTGATTCTGTGATTTTCTAAAATCTTGTATATAGATAAGAGTTTAAAAGATTTTAAGTTGGCCGTTTGTCTAAGTTAACCTCTGATACTTGTAGATATTTTGCTGAGGTATTAAAGTTTCGATCTCATTTTCATTTACTAAGCTGGAAATTTGGATAGAGGATGTGGAGTTAGGAAAGTTTTTGGGAAAAAAAAATTAGCTGTGGATCACTTGGACATTGAGTTGTGGTACAAGGCAGGAAGAAATCTGAAGTGTAAGAATTAAAGGCTGGATACATGGAACATTAACTTTCGCAAAGGAAGGGTGGGGGGAAGTTAGTGGTAGCTGAATAGTCACTTGTATGGTGGCTGTAGCACATAAGAGGAGCCAGAGCTCTATTCGTTGAAAGAGAAGGGAAATGATTTTGGCATCACTCTGTTATTTGACTATACTGGGATGGGAAGGTTTGAGAAGGTCTTGCTGCAAAACAGTTAAACTTCAAGATTTATAACTCTACAGAAAGATGTAGTATGTACATTAATAGTAATTTAAATGCCCTCTTAAAAGTAATTTTATGCTACATCTTCCTGTAGAGTATTACAAGTATTATATCTTTCTGTAAAGTGTTAGTAAATCATCTGTAATTTCAAAAATACATTAATTTAGTAAAGTGAGGCAAATCTCTAGATGAGCTAGGCCTAAGAAATCCATTTTAGTAGCCGGGTGTGGTGGCTCACGCCTGTAATCCCAGCACTTTGGGAGGCCGAGGTGGGTGGATCACGAGGTCGGGAAATCAAGACCTTCCTGGCCAACATGGTGAAACCCCCTCTTTAATTAAAAAAAAAAATACACAAAATACAAAAAATTAGCTGGGCGTGGTGGCACCAACCTGTAATTTCAGCTACTCAGGAGGCTGAGGCAGGAGAATCACTTGAACCAGGGAGTCAAAGGTTGCAGTGAATCTAGAACACACCACCACACTCTAGCCTGGTGACAGAGGGACTCTGTCTTAAAAATAAAACAAATAAAATTTATAAAAACACAACATTTTAACTCCATTCCTGCCTCTCAGTGGAGATTCTGAACCTGACATGTTTTCTAGCTAGCAGGAAATGTGCAGAAGCAGATAACTGACTATGCATTATTGGGGAGTATGAATTATGTGGTTTTAATTTTTAAATTTTTGTAAGCATGGGATCTCATTATGTTTTCCAGGCTGGTGTCAAACGCCTTGCCTCAAGCAATCCTCCAGTCTCAGTCTCTCAAAGTGTTGGGATTATAGGCATGAGCCACTGTACTTTGCCTTTTATTTTCTGTACCTGATATTTCCATGTATATATTGTAGAATATATTTAGTTCCCCTAAATGCAGCTGTTGAAAGATTAGAAATTTTTTGTTAGGGTTCTGGAAGCAGCATCAACATGTTGATATGTATCTTTTTTTTTTTTTTCTTCAGGAAATCATGACCAGATCTGAAATGGCTGAAAAAATGTTCTCTTCAGAAAAGATAATGTGATTAGAACCCATATAAGTGAAATGTAGTTAAGCTTGAAGGACTATCCTTCATCAAGACTGAAAGTGAGCTTTGTTTTGATATTGCATAGCAAGTTTTTATTGTGTTATCTTGGAAGTCTGCGTGTCAAAATGAAGAATTCAGGTGGCAGGAGGGTTCTGCAATCCTTTTAAAGTTGACTCTTGAGTGTCAGTTGAATGTCTATTAAATTGGATTTGGAAATAACCTAAGGAAAGTATTATGATAAAGATCTGCACAGATGCCTCTTAGCGGACAGGTGGCAGACATGTGGGTTAGGGTTCTCCCTCTTTTCTCTGGAACATATGACAATTCCAGATTAAAGAAAAATGTTTTTTAATAAACATGTTGGTCTTTTTTCTAGTCACCTTTGAGGTAGATATTGTGATTCTTCTGGACTATAGTATATCTGTGTCTTTATGTCTTGGGTTTACTAGATACAATAATACTTTCCTTTGACATTTGTACTGAAGTGATTCGATATGAAGTAAAACTTGGTTAATGTTGGAATATAGGCATATTTATAGGTTTTTGCAACTCCCCCCCCCTTTTAAAAATCTGCACAAGGCCCTTGTTTGTGAGTCTCATGCACATCAAATGATGGACTTAGGTCTTCTCTGAGCTCAGGGGAACACAAGTGCACAGAGTGAGATGTCTTGAGGGTCACAACCAAAGAATTTCCCTCATTGTCCCTCACTCAGGCCATGTGTACGTGTGATGCTGCTGAATCTGCCAGGGCGGATGGTGGCCATATGGCTCCCCCAGAGCACTTCCTACGCAGCATACTGGGAGACCCATTACTGGTGAACTTCTTGGAAATTAGAACTGTATCTTTTGCATAATGTTGGCATATTACATTTCGTATTAAAAACATATATTTAGTTGCATGCTACATCATTTTTGATTTCATAATTAATTTCTTAAACTTCAACCATGTTTTATACCCTATTTTGTTACATCATATATTTGTAATGAGTAATATGAAATCTTTTGCTTTAATTTCTTTTTTACAAATGTAGAATGTTCTAAACTTGAAAGGCAATTGAATGTAGTATGGTGAAAATGTGAATGTTTTGCTGCTTTCATCACCAAAGATACAGGGCTAGTGGACATTTAGAATAGTAATTAAAGAATCTTGAATGTCTTTTCTTTGAAGGAGTTCTAACCTTGTAAATTGAGAATGACTTCAGAGAATTTTGATTAAGAAAACATTGAAATTTGAACCGGCACAAACACTTAAACATAACCTCCAATTTTTTTTACTGTGAAGCCACAAAGCAAATTTTTTTCTTTTTCTTTCAAAAGCCTACCTTCTGTATTTATTTCTTGTTTACTCATTTCAGAGAGAGTAGTAAAGAAGATCTATTTCTGGCAGTCATATCACTTGAAAGATATTGGCAAATGTATTTTCACTCCTGACCATGTGGAAAGTGAACAGTGTTGGCAAACATTGCTGAGAAAGCCATACTTTTCAAGATGCCCTTACTTTGGGATATCCTTCCTAGGGAGAAAAAAAGTTTTAACAATTGTGAATTCCATTTCTTATTTCAGTTTCTGCTGCAGTAACGGGTTCCCATCCACTGCAGTTCCCAGCATTTATGTTCTGGTATATTCTCCCCTTAGTCCATTAACATTTTTATGTAATACCCCACTCCCCAAGTTTTGAGACAGAATGACCCCCTACTTATTACATGGCTGTAGTTGAATTTGAAAATGTGGAATATTGGGCTTGCAGGCAGTAGGAGCTGCAAATCTGGTAGAGTGGGAGTGAGGAGTTAATGGTGAGTACGATGATAAGGGAAACTGCCTCTGACAGAACCGCAGTAATGTTTACCAAAACATGTCTTTCTACAGCTGGTAGCATAGTTAATGCTACCTCTGTAGCTCAGCTGCAGGCTGCACTGCAAACTTTTCTTCCATCCAGAGAAAGCAGAATTCCCTCCTAGTAGCCTTATCACAAATATTGTTTCTCAAAGGGCATGTGCTGTCTGTCATCTTCAGTGATATTTGTGCCATCTCTTGATGGCTGATGACCTGGATCGAGTATTTCTGTGGAGGGCCTTCTTAGGCCCCTCACATACATGAGAAGGGTACTCTAGTGCCATAGCCATAGTTCACAGGAAGGACTCCGGGGGAAGTTATGCGTAGGGCCACTGAGCAGCTCATCATCCTTGCTTCTGCACGAAGTTTCCAGAAACTGGCCATCAGGGCCTCTGAGGCGCTCAAGTCAGTTTACTTTTAGCATGCCAGCTAAAAATAAAGACGGGTCTCCCTGTTAGTGAGGGAATCTGAGGATACGGGTCCGGTTTGATTTTTTTTAGGCAAAATGCTTAAGTGTTCTGGTTATGCCATTTATATTAGATTAATATGATGTGTGAAATTTTCTTAAAAGGGAATTTTCATGATTTGATTTAGATTAGTATTTAAACATCTGCTTTAGATAGCAGTTTTACTGCAGAAATAAGGAAAAATTGGTGAATATGTGAATTTTTTAAGCCTGAGAGATGATAGAATGTTCCCATATTTTTCCTGTAAAGAAAATATTTTAACTTACACACCCTGTAGAAAATGCCACCCTTTCCCCTTGTATTACAGTACAATGTTTACACTACTATACTGTCAAGACAAAGTATGAAAAATGTACATATACGTTTTGATTTATATATCCTTTTTTTAAAAAAAAAAAGTTTGAGTCTATTGCACTAGGCTGTACTTGACTAAATTTTGGACAGATGCTGTGTTAGATTTATGATCACTAGTTCTGGTACTTGTGTCTTTGTATGATCAAAGCATGCAATAAACAGTACAAAGCACCAAGCCTTATACTTAGAAGAAGTGTAACATTGGTTAACATACTGGTCAAACACATTGAATGTATATAAGTGGCAAAACTAGATTTGTAAGGAACTGTACATTATAATATTGGAGCTCAGTACAGCATGAAGAAACTTCTTTAAAACTAAGAAAACATTCATTTATTTGGGGAGAAATTTTAGGAGTGTAAGAAGTTTTATTTTTCTATTTTAAAAAGTTAAATTGTTCTATAATTTGGAAGAAATTTCATTGAATGTAAGACATAACTGAATGATTTTCGTTTGAAAAATTTATGTATTTTGTGCCTTAATATTTTGTTCTTTTAATAAAAGTCTTCTGAAATTTTGAATGTTTGATTCTTGGTCATATCTATTGGTTCTAGATTATATAAATCTGTAGGAAATACAAACTCCAGTAGATGGTAGGACAGAAACAAAATTCTTACAAGAGGAGGCACAGCTAATCAAACACAGAAAAGTGCTCAACCTCGGCAGTAGTAAAGAAATGCAAAACAAAAGATAGATAGGGGATATTTTTAAAAATCAAATTAACCTAAGTTTCTACTATGGTATATTTGTAAAATCCCTTTGCTTTCAAAGTCTGATGAAATGAGCACACTTACTAATGATGGTCATATAATTGATTCCGTTTTTGTGAAAAGTTAAACAATGTGTTTATAACCTTTGAATAATGTCAATTCTGGTGATGTTTTGAAAAATTCAAAATACAGAATAAAGTTTCTGTACAAAAGTGTTTATTATAACATTATTTAAAGTAGAAATAAAATTAGAAACAAACAGTATCATAGTTAAGTGAGGTATGATTTAACCAGCTACTTTATGGGATATTGTACAGCCATTAAATGATGAAGAATTCATAATAAAAATACTTATAAGAACTGTGATGCAGTGGCACATATGTGAATGCTTATCTGTGTAAAAGTAAGGTAGAGCAACTTGCTGTGATGGTTCAGAAAAAAATGCATTGTATTGTATCTTCCAACTTTTTTTTACTTTTTTGAGAAGGAGTTTCACTCTTGTTACCCAGGCTGGAGTGCAATGGCGCGATCTCGGCTCACCGCAACTTCCGCCTCCTGGGTTCAGGCGATTCTCCTGCCCCAACCTCCTGAGTAGCTAGGATTACAGGCATGTGCCACCATGCCCAGATAATGTTTTGTATTTTTAGTAGAGACGGGGTTTCACCATGTTGACCAGGATGGTCTCGATCTCTTGACCTCGTGATCCACCCACCTCAGCCTCCCAAAGTGCTGGCATTACAGGCTTGAGCCACCGCGCCCGCCTGTATCTTCCAACTTTTCTGTAACTTCATGATTATTTTGAAATAAAGATAATTAAAAACAAAAAAAGGTAGAGAAAGGATTGAGTGGAAATGCAGCGGAGTGGCACACATGATTAGTGTCGAGGCTCAGCCAGGCTGTGGTCACAACTTGATTTTAACCTTTCAGAAAGTTAAGACAAAAACTTTATTTCTTGCTCATGTAACAGTTTTGGAGTGGGTATAGAGGTGGGGAGGACCACCCTCCTCCCCATGGACACTGGGGGTTTATTTCTTTTTTGTGGGCCCACCATACCCCAGGGTTCAATTTTCCCTGGGGTATGGGAATATTTTCTAAGGTAAATATATTAAACGTAAATATGTAAAAATGATAGTGTCTTAATTAGGATATATATCAGAAAGTCTGGAAGAGTGTGGTCTTGGGTCACAGCTTAATCTTGTTAATTAAAAAAATCCATCTTGCTATAAGTAATGTAAGATGGGACATGGGGAATTTCCTTCATGGACGTCCTCCCAGCTTTGAGGAATGAGGAATGAGAGGGACAAGAAGGGTAGTCCCAGAGGAAAAGGAAGAGCTGTTGTAATAAGAGTGATGACAATTTTGGGAGCGTTGGGAGCACTTACAGAGTGCCAGACTTTGGTAATAACTATTCTCACAGTAGCCAATGGTCTAGGGGCTATTTCCCTTGGTTCATGGATTAGAAAACCAAGAGTCAGAGAGGTTAAATAACTTGACAGTTTACCCTCCAGGCAGGTGGTAAGGCTGGTATAATACTGGTAGGAATCATCCTGGAAGGTTTGTCCTCAAAGTCCTGAGGAGAAAGGAGTTTCAGTTAACAAAGTGCTGTTTGCTTGTTAGAGAAGGTTAAGTAAGACAATGTATCTAAAGTGCCTGGTGCATCGCCTTCAGGAGGCAGCTAAGGTTAATATGAAAGATACAGCAGTGACTGAGGTATGACTGAGACCCAAACAAATGGCATATGAAATTCAAACACATTCCATGTGTTAAAATGAAGTTACCCAGGGCAAGTTTTATGCCCTTTAAGTGATAGGGAATTTACAGCTACATTAACAGAGGCTGATCTGATATTTACGTCTGTCAGAGGCTGATCTGATTTATATCTGAATTCAGATGCAAATAATTTTGACAATATTTCCTTAAAACCATTTTCAAAAAGTAACAAGATGCAGTGGAAGTTTATGCAGAGGAAAAAATGTGAAAGCTATCCAGCAGGTGGTGCCAAAGTAATGTCTCTTCAAGAGTTCTAATCTTAACCTTTTCTCTAATTCTTCCCTTTAAAGCTTTTATAAATTTACTTACCAAATGCCACTAAACAAACTTGGGGATGAGAAAAAAAAAAAAAAAAAAAAAAAAAAAAGCTCAATTCACACATACCACTGCCCTGGAAAAACAGTTAATGTTGGTATATTTTAAAACTTTAAAGCTGGAAAGGGCCTCTAAGATCATCTTACAAATGAGAAAATGGAGGACTAGGAGAGCTTTGCTGGCTGCAGCTCTCTCCGACCAGGGTTGAAGCCTGCTTCCTAGTTTGTTTTTCTCACCTCTGGTCCTTATTGTCAGGGAGAAAGAGATGCCACAGAAGGGTTGGACTCAGCCTCAAAACTTGAATTACATTTTATATGCTTTGGTTACCCCTTGCTATGTCATTTCATATGACTTCATTGTCTGTCTTTTCAGCCTTCAAATTCTTGTTACTACATAGTCATAACTCCAGTTCTCTGCTTCTGCATTTCATAAGTGGAGATTTTCTTGAGGTTCAGTGGAGTCTGCTAGAAAGGCTTGCCTTTGTTTGACCTGAGTCACAGCTTTCCCAGAGCTAAATGCCTTTTTCCAAGGGATGCTTATTAAAAGTATTTTCACAGGCATGTTTTTAAATGTTGCAGCTGCCTAAAGTAATAAATAACATTCAAAGCAAATAGTAGACTGACCAAAAACCTTAAAAGGAAAATCTAAAGAATGAGATGACCATAAGGCCACTGAAAAACCTTCAATATACTTATGGGAATCTAAAAGATCACATGCATGCATAGGGCTCTGTGCATGCTTAGCCAAGACCACAAACAAGAAGTGAAGGCTAAGGCAGAGTTAGTTGTAAACTGCCTGAATGATTGCTGAAGGTGTGCCCCTTCAGCACTTGGCAAGCACCTTGGCAAAGACTGGGAGATTTACTAGTTCCAAGAGATTAAGAAAGTCTCTGTCCAGTAATTGGCTAACCATTACATAACTGAGTAGAGACTTCAGTGACTACATATTACAAAAAATACAGACTTTACAGAATTAGTTCAGAGAAGTCACTAAACAACTACTATGACAAATAGTAACCAAACACTGGGAAGGGGAAAGGATCTGGTTTTCAGAATTACCACATTATATGACTTAAAATGTCTAGTCTTTACCAAAAAATATGACATAAGCAAAGAAATGAGAGTGTATCTCTCACAAGAAAAAAAAGAGCATCAAAACAAAATGTTCCCAACAAAGACCAGATGTTTAAGTTACTAGATAAAAACTTAAAGCTGTTTTATATATATTCAATGAGCTAAAAAAGTATAAACAACAAAAGTATGAGAATAATGTTTGACCAAATAATGTCAATAGAGACAGCAATGATAAAAATAAACCAAATGAAAATTCTTGGGCCGGGTGCAGTGGCTCAAGCCTGTAAACCCAGCACTTTGGGAGGCTGAGGCGGGTGGATCACGAGGTCAAGAGATTGAGACCACCCTGGTCAACATGGTGAAACCCCGTCTCTACTAAAAATACAAAACATTAGCTGGGCATGGTGGCGCGTGCCTGTAATCCCAGCTACTCAGGAGGTTGAGGCAGGAGAATTGCCTGAACCCGGGAGGCAGAGGTTGCGGTGAACCAAGATCGCGCCATTGCACTCCAGCCTGGGTAACAAGAGTGAAACTCCGTCTCAAAAAAAAAGAAAATTATTGTATTGAAAAGTACAGGCTGGGTGCAGTCGCTAACGCCTGTAATCCCAGTACTTTGAGAGGCTGAGTCAGATGGATCACGAGGTCAGGAATTCAAGACCAGCCTGGCCAAGGTGGTGAAACCTTGTCTCTCTTAAAAATACAAAAATTAGCTGGCCACAGTGACTGCTGTGGACCTGTAATCCAAGTTACTCAGGAGGCCAAGGCAGGATAATCACTTGAACCCCAGGGGACAGCAGTTGCAGTGAGCTGAGACCATGTGCCACTGCACTGAGCCTGGGCGACAAAGTGAGACTGTCTCAAAAAAAAAAAAGTAAAGTACAGTAACTGAAACAAATTTATTAGAGGGTGCTCAATCAAGAGCAGATATGAGCAGGTAGAAGAAAGAATCAGTGAATCGGAATATAGGTCAATTGAGATTGTTCAGTGTGAGGAACAAAAAGAAGATAGAATGAAGAAAAATTAACAGGGTCTCAGAGACCTGTGGAACAACATCAAGCATACAGGCACACACATAGAATACCAGAAGAAGCAGAGAAAGGAATAAAAATACTTGAAGAAATAGTGGTTGAAAGCTTTTAAAACTTGATGAAACAGTCTACCTAAGCAGACAGATTAGCAAACTCCAAATAAGATGAACTCAGAGATGTGTACTGAAACATCATAATCAAATGATGGAAAACAAAACCAAAGATGGAATTTTGAAAGCAACAAGAGAGAAGTGACTTATTGCATAGGAAAAATCCTCTATAAGATTTAACAACTAATTTTCTCCCTAGAAACCATGGTGGTAAGAAAGCAATGGGATAATATATTTAAAGTAATGAGAAAAAAAAAAAAATCTGTCAGCCAAGAATGTTATATCCAGGCAAACTATGCATTCAACATGAATAAACATACAAACATTTGAGATAAAAACTGAATTTGTTGTTAGTAGTTTTGTCCTGCAAGAAATACTAAAGTAGGCTGGGCACAGTGGCTCACGTCTCTAATCCCAGCACTTTGGAAGGCTGAGGTGGGCAGATCACTTCAGGTCAGGAGTTCCAGACTAGCCTGGCCAATGTAGTGAAACACCGTCTCTACTAAAAATACAAA